CCATTGTTTTCCTTATTGAATTTTGAAGTTGCTGGCCAAATTTCATCTATGTAACTCCACAAATAAGCTTACAATTGCAGATTGAAGTGTTCAAAATATGCCCTCTGACAGGAACGGGGACCCAGTTATTTCCCCCATTGAAACGCATTGAAAATCATAGTAAATAAATGGGGTGCTGTCCAATAAATAATTTTGATAGCCACCTTGGGACTTCTGTTTCACGTTAGGCATTTGTTTCAAAGTTTCTAAGTGCAATCTCAGTGCCTCATGACCGGCATTCCGTTGCACAATTTTGTTTTGATTGACAACAGGGTAGGTCGGTCTACTTCCGGGGAAGAATAAAGGCTAGAATTTAGGCAATTTACTCTATGTACCGACGCCAGATTACATTTAAATCAATCAAAATTTTTACAGAAATTCAAGCTAGAAAGCCTACCCATTCAAATAAATCTACATTCAGTTACAGAACTTGTGTAATAATAAAACTACACCATTTTAAATAAAAGTTATATATTTTTTTTAAGAACTACATTCGTGGGTACCGGACTGGTTGCCGTAACTGGGATCCTATTCCAATTGCTGCTTTGACCATGACCTTTATCCAAGTTAACTAAAAATCAATAGGGTGGAAAAGATATGGTTTATTAATTCATGACACAAAATCACTTCACATACCAAAAGCAAATAAACAATGCTGTTCTTTATCTCAAGGTCATAGCCAACAATGGAGGAACAGCCTTTATGGCACTGCAAGTTCAAGATGGCACCTAGTCTCAGTTTGAGGGAAATTCTTTCCTTGATGTTGATCAAGATACATGTAACGATGATGTTTGCATTTTTCTAAGGAACACTGCTGCAGGGTTATATCCACACATGATAAATCACTTCTGGCAAAGAAATATAACAAATACTGTCATAAATTGCCAGACAATCAAACTGTAAAATATAAACAATGCAAAAATTTATACAGGGTATATCATGATATATTTTAGACAACTTGGCAGGGGTCTTTTCAATCAGATGAGCAAACAAATTTCATATCTATTTTCAAAAATTTCTAAACATCTGATTTACAGCACTAATATATTTTCTAGAAAAATAATTCCCTAAATTTCACTTTATTCATAGGCAATGCAACCTTGAACTTTGACCTATTGTCAAAAAATCAATAGGGGGTCTTGTTGTTGAGGATGAATTTCAAGTGAAGTTAAGTGAAAGTTGGACAAATGGTCATTATCTTCAAGATACCAAAATTTTGCTCCAATTTCAGCATACACATTGCTTTTGACCTTTGACCCCAGTGAACTCAAAACCAATAGGGGTGTTCTTCATCAGATAGGCTATTATCAAACCAAGTTTTATATCAGTTTGACATATAAATGTAGTTCAAGAGATAGCACCTGGAAACAAAAGTTTTCAGCCAAAGGTGTAGGTTCTATAAAGGTCCTATAATTGGCTATAAATATGAAGCCCATTATTTCAAGATAAAAAGTGTTTAATGTTACTGCATAAACATATCAGAAATCAGTTTATATGAATTTTGTCAAGCATTTCCAGAAAACCATTCAGGTACATGATAACACCCCAATTAAGCCAATTATAGAGGTTTTATAGAAAGATGACAAAATCTACTGGATTTCAACCACAATAAGATCTAGCAATCATAGAGTGCACAAGTTTGACAAACCAAATATTTTAGTAAGGTAGTTACTTGTAATAACAAATATTGTTAAAAGACCTTAATGGTCAAGCATACACTTAATGTGTTTCCAGTCCTAAATACCAATAGAAATTGGCCTGTTTTTTATATACTGTAAATTCAGAAATTATTGTGATGTTTTTATTATTGCTAAAAATGCAACAGGGTTATAATCACAATGATTTAAATTCGCATTTTGAAATTTTTTATATGAATTAAACAGGATTTTTCTCAATATCGCAAAAATTAATCTAATTAGTCTAAAATGACAAAATCGCAATAATAAATGCACACAATAATTTCTGAATTTACAGTACTCAGGAAAATTGAAATGTATGCTTATTTTTTTATCCATACATGAAAGCTGACATAAAGTCCTATTTCCTATCTGGTTTTAGCTATGATGCATTCTGATGATGGCCATTTTTTTTACAATTTGAACTTATATAACTTGAAAAGGGGCCATAATTGGGACATATATTACTTCTTCTTAAAGTCAATGAGGCCTGCAACACGGAGCAAAAAAACTCTCACATCACTGAAAGTTTGAGACGGCCCCTAGCACCGGTATGAACGGAATTCTTTGCAAAATAATTTGGAACGACTTTGTAAGATGTAACACCACCAAATCAGATCAAAAAGAAAATACTGAAAAGTAGGACAGTTTTAAAACAAAATAGTTCCTACGCATAGGTGTAAATATCAAAGTATGTAGAATATATCTTGGTAATTTAAGTATCAAAGGAAAGGCAAAGGACTGGTGATCCTGTAAGAAAACATTTTGACTAATAATTTGAATAATACAAAAATGTATGAATGAATTCTAAAATTGAGGGCATATATTGCCCGTTTCTCAGATATATTTCTCTATGAAGTACCTGGTTTGGTGTATTTAAAGATCCGGTAACCAGTACAGTCTGATGTGTAAATAACGGTATATTGATCCTGCACACCCATAAATGTTCGAAAGTAAAAATGTAAATTGGTAAGGAATGGGGGCCAAGAATAATTGGTGTCATCTTTTCAATATTGAGAGAATAATGTGGCACGCATAAGAGAAGTTATCTCAAGAATAAATGCACAATAACTTTAAAAATACAGAAGAGCATACACCTCAAGCACTGGAAAACTTTCCACGATTCCACACAGCATGAGAAATAAAGCACATATCATCTGTGAAGATCCTGAATAACATATAATATTTTTCTTACTCTTAAATGTTGTATATTATAAAAATTGTTTAGTTTATTTTCCAGTTTTCATGAAGCTTTAAATTGCTCATAAACAATACAAACTATAGTATAAAAGGGAAGGAATTTTTGATTTTGAAAAAAATACTCGTCAGTCTGGTCCTGTTCTTTTATGCAGGGCCTCGGTGGCCTCAGTTGAACTACTGTATCACTAGACTGCCAACACTGAGGTTGTGAGTTCGAATCCCCGCAACTGCACTCGACTCATCTTTATTGACTAGGATTATCAGTTTTCCTACTGAAGGTCGATGGTTCTCTCCAGGCACTCCGGCTTCCTCCACCAATAAAAACTGACTGCCATGAAATAGCACAATAGTGTTGAAACTAGCGTTTATCACCAATCAATCTTGTATGCCCATTTGTTTAAATATAGTAGAATGGTTCATAAAGGTTTAGGCTGTGTTTGAAAATTTGTAAAATATTATTTTCTTAGGTACCTATATAAACAAATGACACACTACAACTACTATTTTAAATGTTACCTAAATGATTACTTCAACATTTTGCACCAAAAATATCCAAAATATAAAAGAAAAACAAAGGATGTATGTTTTATATTTGCAAAAATTGCCTTCCGAAATGACACTTCATCAATGACCTGTTAAGCGACCTAACGCAAATCTGATTTCGGTGAAGAATCTAAGCTGGTTTATTATCTCCCATTGTTTTCCTCCTAGTGACAGTTGAAATCTCAACAAGGCATATCATTGTACTTACTTTTCTCCAGACAGCTGAAATGTTCATGTAATTCTTGAAGGAGTATTAGATCAGCAAATAATCTACACAGTAGTACAACATATACACTTTAAAATTCCACTGAAGTCTCTCTTCATATTCCACAGAGTAAAAAGTGGAAAGGAAAAATCATAAGAGAGAAAATAAACTCTAAAATTTAAGAATTTCTTTAAAGGATAGTTCTCAAGAACTAAGGGTTTTATTATAAATGCTCTATTTGCAACTTCTAGTGTTCTTCCCAATTACAGTTTAGGATCTGATGCTATGACATATGCTGTCATGTCTCTTTCCTACATTTTTTCTAAACTTAGCACACCTTTGAAAAGTTAGCAAGTGGATGAAGCATTGAAAAGCTTATTTTTTGTTTGTGTTACTTTGATTAAAACTGAGAATGGAAATGGGGAATATGTCAAAGAGACAATAACCCGACCAAAGAGCAGACAACAGCCGAAGGCCACCAATGGGTCTTCAACGCAGCATGTATTGCTTGAAAATCAAAAACACGTTTTGTACATCATAACTTACTCATGATTTGCCATTTAGAGTGTGTTCATGGGAGAAACAATTTACATAACATTCACTGTAGAAGCACATAAACTGTTGACACAGAGATATGTTGTCTCGCCTGTATGTAATTTTAATAGCTATGCTTTGACATGTCAACTATGCAAAACATTGAAAGACAATGATCAATTACTGAAGGTGCATGGCCAAATGATCTACATGGAAATGAGATCTGCCAATGCTAAGACAACAACATACCAAATACCATCATAAGTGGTCCCCTTCAATTGACCCAAACACAAACTTTAACAAGTGAACTATGCAAAAGATTCCAAGTCAATGAACCATGACTGAGGAATGAAGCCAATTAACCTCCATGAAAAAGAGATGTGTAAATTCCATTACAACTGCATACTAAATATTATTGACCTACCATTAGTGGTTTTCCCACTGATCTTATCACTAAGTGTCTCCCTGGCAGATCTGAATTTTCTAACAGGGTATAAATCAACTCATCCAAAAGCTTAATAAAAATTATAAAATAATTCCCACTCATTCAGGGTGACAAACCGTTGTAGCAACATTTCATGTTAAGTAGGTATAATTAGGTGAAATTGGCCATAAATAAATTATGGTACAGCATATCTGAAAATCAATTAGAAAATCTTTCTTCAGTACAAAGCTGTATACTATGTAGCACAATGTATCAGTATGTACTGACAAACAGACAGGACTGACAAGATTAATAAAGCAGCACGTGTGAGAGTTATATTCACTATAAGAGTGGGTGTAAAACAAAAAAAACCCAGATATTCACCTTTTTTAGTCACTTTATTTTTAAGATTTTTTTTATTTTTGCACCTACATTTATATATTAAGATGTATTTACAACCAAAACAAATGTATTGCATAATTTTGTGATGAGTATGATGTACTCTGGTTGATAACAATTTTAGGTTAAGAATATCTTATTTTAAACACATTTTAATTTCTGTATACAATTGTCTCTGATATCTATACATATAGATAGCAAAACACATGAAGCTATTTTTAAGTTAAGAATGTAATACATACTGATTATATGCATTTATTTACAAATGAATACACTAAATGCAATATTTTCTGTAAGATACTATGAAGTCATATGACAATTTCTAAATCATAAAACATAAAACAAAATTTGCTATACTTAGAAGTAGAAAGTACAAAAACCTTTTAACACTGAATGATATCGCTTAATACATTCAATGTAACAATCTTTCTTTCAAAGCAGGTGAAGGGTAATGAAAATACCAATGGTCTGTTTCATACAAAAAATGCTCAAACTTTTAATCTAGCTGATCAACTGATTTGAATGCATAGTTGTAAAAAATTGATCGACTAATTCCAATACAAAGTGTAGTCAAATTGTTCAACTGATTTAAGTACAAGACAACATTAAATCAATCAAACTGTTTAACTGATTTGATTACAAAACAACATTTAATCAATCAAATCGTTTCAAAACAGTGATATACAAAAAAAACTCCCTTCTCATTGCTGCTCAGAAGATTATTAAGTTAAGTTAAAGATGACATGTAAGGAGTTAACCCTTTCACGTTCCGCCAAATTGGACCTAAACTTATGGAAAAGGCACTATCCAAATTCAATCGAATATAGCATTCGCACCAAAACTCATTTTGGATCCATATGAAAGATAATTGATTGAATATTTCGAAAAATTTAATACGAAGAGAATTAGTCTTTTGAAGTCACATGACTTGCAGGAAAAATGTCAAAAAATACAAAATTCTTGCGGAAACAGTTGTATAAAGACATTTTTATGCGCTAATAGGGTCTAGTTTTGGTGTCAAAGCAATGACCCAAGTCTGGTAAAAACAGAACAGTTGCCATAATGGTATAGAAAGAGGAAATACGTGCTAAATGCCTCAAAATGTTGATACCCGTAACATAAAAACTAACGGACGTCAGCAGTTTGTTCAAATTCAGGGAGTCAATTACAATTTGGATAGAAGTGCATTTGAAAAAGAAGAAAAAAGAACATTTTCCTACTTTTATTAATTGCTGAAAACACATATAATTTGAAGAAATTACAAGCTAAAATTTTTTTCCCTATTTTTTGTAAATTCAAACAATTTTTTTTTCACCAAAAATCTTTAAAATACTTTTTTCCTGTACTGATATAAGAGCGGTTTATTTTACTGTCATGATTTCAAAAGTAATTCAAGTCTTTTTTGTATTAAACAAAACAGTAGAAACAAGACCAGACTAATGTCAAACAAAGGGAATCAATGACTTTTAACAATAATTTTATCATTTAAAATAAATATACAGGCATAGAGTGTTACACAGTCTTATACAAGCATTAAGTGTTTTTTCAAGTCAAACATATATTGGCTCCTCAGATAAAAAAAGTATTGGCTGAAGATGTAGCCATTTCAAAATTATGGGAACTAATTATGATAACAGGAATTCATTTTACCTCCACTGACATTCAAAATTAGATCTATACAGATATTTACAAGCAATACAATGTTAAAATATATATAAAAATGAACAGTAAAATATATGCAGATGAGGAAGAACACTGAATGACAAATAGATTCAGAAAAGATAACGGAAAAAATAGTCCATGACAAAATAACTCTGATGATTGTATTAGCACAGGATGATCTAGATGATAACAAATTAGATAACATTTGTACTGCAGTTTGATATCACAAAAAAAATATGAACAGATTAAAAAAAAAAGAACAAACACAAGATTCCATGTATTTTTCAATTTATAAATATCTTACGATCTACCTGAGAACCGCAGTAATATATTTTCCACTATCAGAGGAATGTAAACTTATACGAGAAGAAGGACCATTTATGAACTTGAGTGAAAAGTACCAAGAAATACTATGCTATAAACAAATATTTTAAAAAGAAGGGTTTTTAATGTGAAAATATGAATGTATATGTATTGTATTTGACATCATAATGAAAATTGCTACATCTCTTATTAATGACTCCCCACTTCCCAGTTGTAAAAATAATTCCCTCATTCAACAAAAAAAAATATTGTATAACATTTTTTAAAATCTATTGACCTCAAACTGATGACAACATTTTCAAAGATGAGTTTTTTTTTTCACTTTTTTTTGGGGGGGAGGGGGGGGGGGGATATATTTCATAATTAAAAAGACCCCTTCTTATCTATTTGGTGATCAATAGCACATGCATATTTTCATTTAACTACTCGAAGTTATTAGCTAATGACTATATTTGTCTTCATACTAGCTGTGCTGATGCATCACCATAACTAATTCAATATATAACAATCAAATCCATGACTAATACAAGCCACCCTTTAAAAGTAATTTATCTCTATATAGTACAGGAAGAAGTTCTGTATACGAAAGTTCTATTAAATGCAATGGACATACATCTAAAATGATTCAATTATCTAAAATAAATAAAAACATTCTACATTTAAAAAGTAATAACATTATTCATAAAATATCTTAACATTAAATAGTGGTTTGCAGATTCACCTGAGATTTAAAAAAAATGACAAAATATTTCCTTAATTTTATACAATCAGCTTCTGGTATATTTACTTTTCATTTACATCATTACACAATATATTTTTTGAAACAGTAAAAAAGTAGGTATATTTTCACAGTTGATCAGCATTGTTCAGGAGAACCTTGAGTTATCTCCCCCCAATCACATGATATTTTATATTCTTCTTTTTTCTATCTTTGATAAATATTCAGTTAATCTGGTGATATTCACTTTTCAATTGCAACTTAATTTTACATGTCAGCTGCCTTTCTTTGCAATTGATGAATCCAAAGCGGTACACTATTTTCTGTACAAAATTAATTGTTACTGCACATTTGTTTTTTTTTTCAAACACTTTCATACATCCTGAGTGTTTTCTTAAAACACTTTCATACATCCTGAGAAATTATCAAGTCTTTCATATCACTATCTTCAATTTTCAAATTCTGCAAAATATAAATAAAAAAATTAATATCAATGATTCAAAATATAAGATACATTGTACATCGCATGAACATATCATATTGATTGACACCAAACTTTATAATGAGTAGCAACATCCAAACAAACATTTTAACTTGTTCAACTAAAAAACTCTTTGGTATTTCAAACTTGAGGATTTTCTACCCCATGAATATATTACCATAGCTGTCTTTGGCAAAACATTTTGGAATTTTGGGTCCTCAATGCGCTTCGACTTCGTACTTTATTTGGTCACTGATGAGTCTTTTGATGAAGAAACGTGTGTCCGGCATAAAAAATTTGAATCCTGGTATCTATGATGAGTTTATTATACAAGTTAGATTGCAGGTTTGTTATGAAAATATTTGACTGACCTAAGATAAAATTGGCATAAAGTACATGGATGAAGGTTACAGATGTGTCCAAGTCATAAAATTAACCCTAATTGTGGGATTATGAGATTATTTGATTAATTCTGCAATGAAGAACGAATGTTTAATCACCTTTTCATTAGCTAAATGTAATAAACAGACAAATGCTATAGGAACACTAAGATTCTCTGCTGTCTGGCCAGACACTCTTTTTGGTAGTTCTGCTAACAGACTGGTAAAGGATATTGTCTTATCCATGGTTTTATTTAGTTGATCTGTTTGCATTGCACTTGTTCCTGGTTTGTCCTGTAATGAAAAAATTCACATTATAACTTTGTGGAAAAATATGTTACATATTAAACGATAAAAGAACAAACAGTTGCATGCACTGTCACAAAAAAGTATATCTCCGTTTGTCATTTATCATCAACAAAAATTTCATGCTTAAATGGTATAAATAAAAATCAAATTATTGTTTAATTGTAATTTAGCGATAGGAAGATCTAAAATAAATTACACAATACAATTCATACTTCAAAAATAATTCAATGACACATATTCCAGATGATGGACAAGTAGACAAAGACAAATGACAGCTTAGTAGTATAATTCCAGCTACAACAATGAGAATGTATTATTATTACCTTTTCTTCTTCCGCTTCTGTTAAAATGTTCCATATTGTTTTCTTCAGTCTTTTCACATCTAACTTCTTTGCTGTTTTTGCGTACCCAATATCGATCTTTGCAACCTGCAATATTCAATGTCATTCAATGAAGTTTAATCTTTTATCTATCATACAGCCACCAGAACATTATATTGAATGACATACCATATTTGGAATGTTTTTGTTTAACTGACAGTGCCAAAATTTAACCCAGCAAAATAAAACACTGTTAAGTTTGATAAAGCCCAAAAATGGCCCCACTTTCTAGTATAAATTTCAAGTTACTATTTAATACCTATATCAGGATGAATCAAAGTTATAACAATGATAAGATAGAAATTTTTTTTTAATTTAAGGATCACATTCTCTTTATGACATCACAAGAAGAATCAATTTCAATTTTCGTCCAAATTCAATTAAAACAGGCTAAATGAATTGGTTGTCAGGACCTGAAGCATATAGCTGATGTGTTGACAAAAAAATATTTTAACTTATGTTTGTTATAACAAATAACATATCTGAGTTTGTCAAAACCCTGTGCATTAGGTTACCTCTGTCTCAATTGGTTGAAATTCCAACAGATTTTATAAATTTCACATAACTCTCAATTTTTTGCCACTTCTGGGTGTCAATGTCAACATTTCATTTGAAAAATTCTACTTTAATCATTCTAGTTCACTTTCTCAAATGTTTATTTATTATATTGAAACATTTTCATCTTGAAATAATGGACTTGTTATTAGGGGCCAAATAAGGCCCTTACTGCAATTACCCCTTTTGTAAATCAAATGGGGATATATCATTAGGAATAAATGTTGCTGAGGGTATTCTTTAAACTTATAGTGCCTGCAGAAAGGGATGAGTTAATTTGTAATTAGAAAAACATCTGAAATATCTTTATAAATAAGAATACATCTTACTTTTCTTGGAACATCTAGTAACTTATCACCAGTTAACATTGTTCCATCTAAAATAGTGTCATTGACCACTACTCCTTGCTGGGAATCATTGGTTTCCTGAGAGCAGACATCTGCTGTGAAGTTGAATCCAAACTCACCATTCTCGTCATCATCGTCATCACATGGCTATCAATAATCACAAAATTTATAATTGAAACATTCGAAGAAATTTATAAAATATATGAGATTTCTGATTTTTTTGTAAGGATTTTGTTTTTGTTATGTACATCCTTAAGTAGGTTCTACAACTGTGTGAAGTTTCATCAATATACATCCAGTCTTTAAGAGGAGTTGCACTTATGAGAGACTATTACCACATATTGCAATGTTGAAGTCATTAAGCTCAATTATTTCCAATTCAACAGGTAGGATCCGGATTATATTCCTTAATGTACACCTAAATTAGTGTTCAACAACTGTGTAAAGTTTTGTCAATATTCATCCAGGTGCACTAACTCCAGCATGCCTGGATTGATTTCTTCAAAAATTTACATTATTGATGGATTGATAAAGCTAGGTTCCCTTTCGATTTTTGTAATTTTCTAGTTTTTCTTTCCAGAATTACAGGACTTTGATTGTCTGATATTAGTAAATTTTTTACACTTTGTACAATAACTTGAGTTTATTTGGATTGAATAACTGAAAACTTTACATAACTGTTGGAATTCCTGAATATAACAAACACACTGTTTGATTTTAAAAAGATTCTGATGTGTCATTCCAGACAGTCAGGTAAAAAAAGGCATTTTTTAAATGTCATGCACAAGCTATAGTATGCTTGGATCAAATTTTTACTAACTCAACACTGTTTTGGGGATTGGTAAATATACACTTGCATATTTTATTTTGAAAATGTTCTGATATATCATTCCAAAGTTATGAGTCTTTTAAGTCATATTTGACACAATATTTATACGTCTTTGGGTATCCTCAGGCATGTTTTTGTTCAGAGCAATTTTATATGCTTCTGATTAAATGCCTTTTAAATATCCCATTTTATTTTAGCAACTAATTCAATATACACAACATTATATGGTGTATCATGTTTATGTATCATGTTTATAAAGCATGTATCTACTTATAACCTTATGGAATTCTTTTTGATCACTACAATTCATTCAATGTGACCGTCATCTTTCCCTTTCCTTCAGCGTTTTTTGATAACAGCATTTTGTTATGTACTAACTTTTTTTTAATTTTATTAATCATGCAATTCATAAAATTTCAGGGTAAATTTATTCAAACAATCTAAAACTTCTTCAAATAATAACAATAAAATAGTAGAAACAGCATCTACTGTGTTCTAGGATATTTCATAAGAACACTGATCTAGAAGAATTAAAAGGTGACAATAATTTAAGGAATGTCAAAAATACAAAAATTTATTGAACTTTACCTCGTCACCCCTCGGACAATAATTTTCCATATCATTTGAATTATCAAAATTGTAGTTGTCTATTTCCCCATCAACATCAACATTGTCATTTGTATTGTTCTGTCGCTTTATCTGAAACAAAAGAGAAGAAATAAATTAATAATCAAGTGTTGAGATAAGAGTCTATTTGATTCTTTCCAAATTTAAGGAACTGCTTCTGATAATCGCCATAATCCAGTGTCGTGATATTCATTATGTTTTCATTCATTATAGAAAATCACTTCAGGAAGAATCCAGATGTGTCTATTAAACGCTAATTCTCCATTAAAAAAAATTTGTGTTTTATACATTAGTTTTTTAAAAGAATAATTTTTTTAGCTATCACCTTCCTAAATGCATATCTTTGATGAATTTGGCAAAACTTTTTGGAATTTTAGGTCCTCAATGCCCTTTAACTTCAAACTTTATTTGGCCTTTTAACTCTTTTAATTCGAGGGTCACTGATGAGTCTTTTGAAGATGAAAAACGTGTTTGACATACAAAATCATAAGCCTGATATCTTTGATGATTCTTTTTACAAAGAGCAGACACAGAGTTATGTAGGTTGTACTTTGTAAATACAGCAGTTTCACAAACCAAGCCTCTTTTGGGGAGATATATAATATTCATAGATATTTTGTTTTGCTTACCTACTGGTTCCCAGATATGATCTCTATGTTTCATCTCGTAGAGACATAACTTGGGGTGGTTACCAGTATAAATACACATGAATAGTGGCAAAATTGAATTCTGAGGAAGACACAAAGTGAAGTGAGGGGTAGAACAGAATTTTAGTAGAAGTTTAAACTCTAAGAAGTTCGGGGCATATAAATGTTGAAAATATGCCGCACAGCCCTTTATTTTGACCTTTAAAAAAAATAGCAGTGCATATGAGCTTTCCATTCTAGGATATAATTTTTTATGAAACTTCATAGTAAAAGTGGTAGTTTTAGCTGTAAAAGGAGTTCATATGGGAAATTGCATTGTCTATATTTACAGAAGTGCAACCTGTAAGATCTTTATGAATTTCAAATATATAACCTACTGAAGTGATAAGAAAGGGGAAGTCTTTACTTACATATCACTAAACTTTTATAGGGGATTAAATATATCTTTGTGAGAAAAATAGAGACATTCAAAAACTTTTTTTTTTAATGAAGGAGATGACATCACTGCATTAAGAGATACTTATGCCACAGGAAGATAATGTCTCCCAGTTCTAGTAAGTTTATATAATTTTGTTTCATAAGCATCTACACCATATCGGATCTTTTCATTGTAGGGGCATAATATTCTTACCATAACTTTGGCTTTCTGAAATAATCTAAACAACTTATCAGCATCATAATGTAAATCTTTTGGGAGTGTGTTCTTCTTTTTACTATGTTTTATCATTGTTGCTTTTGTTAACATTGTTGCTCTAGACGATTTGAAGTAACTATCAAAGTCTATCTGTTGTTCATAGTCCATTTTAAATGGTTCTTTCTTTAATTTCTTCTTTCCTTGTTCTGTTTGGTTGTTCAATCTTTTATCTGAAAAGAATAGTGTTGCTACAACATATATGTATTGCAAGCTGCATGAAAGATGTGGACATAAATGTTAATATTTGTTTTCTTTAAAATCTGCAAACAGGAAGCAGATATCTGACAAGCTTCACCGCATTTCAACTCATTACTGTAAAATGTTGATTAAATATAAAGTCATTCTGTTTAATAGTTCCTTGGTGAAGTGTGACAAAAAAAAATCTGTTGGACTTACAGATGGAAGGATACAATACAGCCCCAACTCCAACAGTTAGTGTATAAAAATTACCTGTGTGTAGGGTTCCCTAATTTACTTCAATATGCATACCCCACAGATTTTTAAGGCACTTTTGGTACTAAATCATTAAAAAAATACAGTCTGCAATATACTCATGGTAAGGAAGTTTACAAAAAAATCGGGGTCATTTCAATCATCAGGTAATATATTACAAGTGTATAACTATGATGACAAGAAAATGGAGCTACTCAAAAATAGTTAATGAACACTTCTTAGCAAGTCATTATCTCTCATCATGTTATATTTTATTCTTTGTTCGATAAACCTTGCTTAAACCCTGCAAGGGAAAAAATGTTCACAAGCTTTTATTAATTTGTGTTTTTTATCATCATTTTTTTAGTGTTTTTTTACCAGTCAGGGGACTTACTTAAATGAGTGATTTTCTAAATCACTGATTCAAGTAACATTATGTCCATAAAGGTTGGAAGTAAGGGTTGTCTTTCTTTAATAATCACCTATTTAAGTAGTACAAATTAATCACTAGACTAAGTGATTTAATTTTATTGTAGCTTTAAATATAGAATACTAATGATCCAGGGACTAATTATGTTGCTAAAATTATCAGAACCAACATCTGTGTTGATAGGATGACCAGGTCATGTCAGGTGATGACCTTGTACTAAATCTAGGATAATGACATAAAAATCACTTGTTTAAGTATCATACCTCAATTTTCTTCCAAAAAATCACTTCTTTAAGTTTCATTATTTTAATAACCCCCACTAATTTCAACACCCCCGAACAGTGAAATTTTTATCACGAACAGTAGAATTTTATTACATAATCTATAAGATGAAACCTTGAATTTTACAGGAAAAATACTCCCACTGCTGGGAAAAATCTGTTAAGAAAGTATCAGTTCATTATGTAAAGCCATTTTTATAGCATTTTTTCAACTAAAATAGAATTTACAGCTAAATGATTGCATCAAAGGCATAAACCTTGCTGCTTAAAAGAAGCAAAAAGTTCATTTTTTTCAATTTTACTAATGAAAAGATATTATCTAAACCTATGTGTTTAAAATTTTGGTTAAACTACAAAATCACAATTTGTGACAAAACTTCAAATTTGATACTTAAATAAGTGATTTAAAAATCACTTATTTTAATAAGTCCCCTGACTGTTTACCTTTTGAACTAGGTGGTTGTACTTATTTCATAGTGAACCATTTATTACCATCAACTCCTGAATTTTGTGCAACTGATATTTGAACATTGTTATTTTACATCAATTTTAATGTTAAAATAATAAAAGCAACTTACAATAATGATTATAAATACCTTTTGATAATGGTTTTATTTTCCAATGTGAGGGTCCTGCCCAAGCTCTCATCAGAGTATTATTGAAATATGAGTAATCAGAAGGTTCCGAAGCTAAAACTGACAGCAGGGTTCCTGTTGTTCCATGTCTGAAAAAAAAATATAATGTAATACTGTGAATTTATTATAATCTAGGGGTACATCCTATTATATCTCATATGAACCTGATGAGTCACCTCCCCTCCTCTGTTGTATCATAAAAACTTTAACTTCTCTACAATAATCTGCTATGGGTGAAAAATTTGAAATAAAAAATCAATAGAATTTTCACAAAATTTAAATGTATTTTTTCTTTAAAATAAGTATGTAAATATTTTTTAATAAATTCATCCAAACTGCACTATGAAACCATTTTTTTTTTAAATATGTTAATAGTGACTACATCAAAACATTTAGAATGAAATTTTATCACTTGCTTGTACAAAGGCTACTTTTTCAGAGCATTTAAATTAACATCAATTTTATTACTTTCACACCATATTTACCATTAAGGGCTGTTGCAGGGGATGGGAGGCACTCAAATTATTAAATTGTGGGTGGTTGAATTTTCTTTAGAATTTTGTATTAAGAATTATTTGTAAAATGAAAACTCTATATTATGGGTAGTTCGGGTCTATAAAAAGTGCCTCCCATCCCCCAGCCCATGAGTTTAATCTGGAACAGTCCTTAGAGAATTTAATAGATGTCATATTTTAACAAAATATACAAAAATCACCAATCTTCATATTCAGATTGAATTTTCTCAAAAACAAGCTATACCATATTTTGTGAATCTTCAAAAATAACATTACTGCTTGTTCATATATCATTATGGATAAAAAGTAAAATCACAAAAATACTGAACTCCGAGGAAAATTCAAAAAGGAAAGTCCCTAATCAAATGGCAAAATCAAAAGCTCAAACACACCAAACGAATGGATAACAACTGTCATATTCCTGACTTGGTACAGGCATTTTCTTATGTAGAAAATGGTGGATTGAACCTGGTTTTATAGCTAGATGTTTACACAAAACTCAATCATTAACGGTAATTTAATATGCCATGGTACATTCCTATAATGGACATGAATACAACCTACTTACTTGATACTTTCAATGGTTTCAGCCATTTCAGCAGCTTTACCATCACCTATTGTGATTCCATTATTTTGGTTCTCATCATGTACACTGGTATCTGATTCTGAAATATTATAAAAGTGCAATGACTCTTAATCTAACGTATATGGCTTATGATTTTAACATATTAGTAAAATTGTTAAAAACAAAGAGGTTTACAAGCACTGTGATGGTTCTTATTGGTTCATTAAAATAGTATGTGTGTCAATATTAAGTAAATGTATATTCTACCTGCATAATCATTATCAGGAAAATCTCCAGCCATATCAGGCATATCATCATTATCATTGTCAGCCTCAGGTATGGGTTCATGTTCAGCATTCATGTCAAATGCATGGTCTCCATTGTCTTGTGAGTGCACTGTGGTGTCCTGAAAAAACGTTTTTCATTGATAATAATTTCATAGTTTGAGGATAATTTGCAATTTATTCTAATATTCACAGTAAATATGAATTATAGTCCTTTGCTTTTAGATTTACATGTGAGTATAGTGATTATGTTTCATGAACTGATACACCATATCCTTTTCTTTTCCATCATATAATTTGAATTATTATGATAAATAATGAATAATCCATGGTGATATGTGCCTTAAAGTATTATATGGTTTTCATGCAGTAAAAAAGTTTGTAACAACACTAAATGGCATATGGTTTGGCTAATAGAAAAATAGATTATATAAAATGTGGACCTACTGCAAAAATTATTTCAGTAAGATTAAGCATGTATTTCTTTACAGTCACAGCAACATAATTTATAGTTTAAGTTTGAATAAAAAATATATAGACTTGAGAATATAACAGATGAATAAACAACTTTACCTCAGCATTTTCATCCCAATCCATGAAAGTAAAACTTGAAAATGATGGACAAACTTCTTTTGACTCTAAATTTATACCTCTAAACATTTCTATAAAATAAAATGAGAAGTTGAATTAGGATCATCCCAAAAAGAATATATCATGTAAACATATATGTGACTGTATTCTGTAATTTTTTATATATTGTGATCAAATCAACAAAGTGTGGTTTTTTCTGTATAAATCCATTGAACTGTGAGCAGTCATGATACCCTTTTTTATAAGTGTTTAGTAAACAGTAAGTTAAAAAGCAATGAATGTAAAAACACATCACAATATTTTAAGCATGCTTACTTATGTGTGGGAGTTATGATTTATAGTTCCGAAGAACAATGCAACAATAATTTCATACATAACTATCATGTGTAAGAATTTTCAGTATACAGAAAGTGGATGAACAATGATTGTGAAAAGGCTTCACACAGTATAGCATGTTCAAATGAAGCTCGAAACCAAATTTTGGGGATTTTCGATTCATTGTTCCTGAGAACAATATGAAGAAAATTTCATACATGGCCATAATGTGTCAGAATATGAGAGTACTCTGTGAACAGGAAATTGATGAGCTATGAATGTGAAAATTATCACAGGGTATAGCTTGCTCACATTAACATTGCTACCCATTCTCAGGGAGCTCTGATTTGTAGATCTGAGAAAGATGCAATGAAAATATTATGGGACATAGACGGGGTGAACCAGTATAACTATATGGACAGATTTGGATCTTTTTATTTCAGTACTCTTTTTGTATTTCTATTGAGACTTATAAAGTAAAGCAATAACTAAATTGTACAAACCTTTTATATCACTTAAATCTATAGGTTTATTTTGTGATGGTTGAATTTCATCATCAGCATTTACAACAGTACTTGAATCTAAGACCAGTTCCTGATCATCATTAAAACACCTTAACGTATTATGTAGCAATCCCATGGTTCCTCCTTCATCAAAGGCCTCTGACATCAGTTGAAACATAGGATCTACTTCAAATGCCAAGTCTACTTTAGCAGCTGTAATGTTCTTTAGATTTGTTTCCACTGTTGTATGTTTTTTCTGAAAATAACATTTATGTAAGTGATCATTTTGGTACTTCTAGTAAGAAACAAATGCTCCATGAGTAAAAAAAATCTGAAGCTTTCAATTCATTTTTGATTTGATTTTTTGATTTTTGGTGTTTTAAAGCCACTTTTAAGCACCGCTTTTGGGCTATTTCGTGGCGGCCAGTTTTTATTGGTGGAGGAAGCCATAGAGTGCCCGGAGAAAACCACTGACCTTCGATAGGAAAACTGACAATTCTAGTCAATTAAAATTGGAGTCGAGTGCACCCGCACAAGCGGGGTTCGAACTCACAACCTCAGTGTTGACTGGCTAGTGATTATAGTAGTAACTACTTAGACCACTCAGCCACCGAGGCCCCTAATTCATTTTTGATGGTTCAATGGAAAGTTATCAAACTGATAAAATAAATATATCTTGTTCCACTAGGGGTTTATAAAGGACAAAGTAAAACTTGTCCATTGTTAAGAGTGAATATGTGCACCACGTTGTATGCTAGTAAAAGGATATGCTGCTAATTATAAAGACAGAACCCAAAAATGTAGCAAAAATAACAAGCAGCAGAATGGAACACCTTTTTAAAACAAAGTGAAGGATACACCAAAGTAGATCTGTCAACTGTAAAATGAACAATATTGTTGACTTTACATACCGTTAGTTTTAGAAATTATCAAAAATGGAAGGGATAAGCATAACATTATTAAGAATTTGCATTCTTAATTCTCACAATCTTATCTTTATGCAGCATTTAAAGAAATCACAATTACTAATCTCGTATATTTTTGTCTGTTGATTAACAATTGCACATGATTTCTGAATTTACCATGTTCAAAGCCAGCTGTCTTGATTACCATTTTTGAAGCAAAAAAAACAATAGTGTGAGGTTTATACACATATAAAACAAGTCGTACAGTGTAAAAGACAACTTCAAACCTAAAAAGTTGTTGAGGGATTTAAGAAATATAATCCTCATTTCTCATTCTTTATCTTCTCAAGAATAAAAATCTTGGGAATTGTAATCCGTGTCTGATCTTCAAATCTGTCTTTGTGTTGTTCTTTCATCTTAACTTTTTTTTAATTTCCAACCTTAAGTAGTCTGTAAAATGATTACAAATTTCAATCACCTTAGGTCTGATTACATTCTGTTTCGGTAATTTTAGAAGCATTTTAAGCTTGTTCTTTACAATGCAAATTATAAAAAAAAGTGCTTTGTTCAAAAATTATGTCTGTCAATGGTCATATTCCATATGTATGGCAAGATGCTTCCTATTAAACTGATAATAAAGCATTTTTAAAAAAAATCTAAATAAAATACTATAGTTTCCACCAAAAATCTGTTGGGAGTGTGTCTTACTTTTTTCTTTTTCTTAATCTGTTCATTTTCTGGTGTATCTTCATTATCTGCCATTTCTTCATCAGCTCCTTCCTCTGAAAGAAAAAAAGTGTCAGTGTGGAATTACAAAGAAATTTAATTACCAAGGAATGATAGGGCTAAAATAAAATTCATATTGAAATTAAGTTATAGCAAAATCTGCTATCAATAAAAATGTATTTATATCTGAAACTAATGATTATAGTGGCATTAAGATATTAGATCTTATTTGGCGAATGTAAGATAAAAGGTTCCCCTTGGACAACAAAAAAATCACTCACATCAAAAACGTGCTCTACTATAAATATATATGTTGTGTCAATTTCTCTCTCTCATTGAATTTTATATCATTTATATGTCAAAATAACAGTGACCTATACCTTCTAAGGTTATGATTGTTTTGTATTGGCCAAACTGATAGAGATGACTTCATTTGTTAAAGCGTGTGTTTCATCAATTGTCATTTTTCTTGTTTTGAGAAATACATGTGTTTAGGTAGCCCAGGTCAGATAACATGACAAGATATAAAAATAAGAGACGTAAATGACAGACAACAGATGCAATTTGATGTCAGTATCACACATTTCGGATATACCGTACCTGTACTAAAAATATAACTGTCTTGAATACTGTCAATTCAGAAATTATTGTATGCATTTATTTTCACAATTGTTGATTGATGCAAAAAATGTGCAATTGATTAATGTAATTTCAGGAGAAGCTGCATACTAATAATGTGATACTAACCCTATTGCATTTTAGTATTAAAAATGTCACAAAAACATTCTGAATTCATGTTTTGCTGGTCTCCTAATAAGTTAAATTATTTACAAATAACTGTGATGAAGTGTAATTTTGAGTCCAGTTCATTTTTCAAAATTTCATTTATAAATATTACAAACCTCCATCATCCTGTTTGGATTTGTCTTTACTTGATCCTAAACCAGACAATACTTTATAAGTCTCAGCATGTATAGCATCCACTCTCCCTGCATAGATTTTAGCACTAGCATCTAATGTGGTACTGGCAACCTAAAAAATAAGTAAATACAAAATAAAAAACAGGCCATAGTGTGATAATAACAACCATTTGGCCCCTGAAATTCCAACGGTAGTAAAAATTTTTAACCTTTCAAATGTATGCCAATTTTATTGATAATTGTTTAAAAAGGTTAATTATAATGTAGATATATCATTTGTAAATTTACTGTGACATAAAAAGTATAATAATTGCCATACAATATCTGACATAAAATAGCCTTTTGACACAAGATATATATTAGAAACGTATAATAGGAGCAAGATTTGCCATAAACATTTCTGAGAGTAAAAGAAAAAGATAATTCACACTCATATTCAAACAGCCTTTAATTTATTTTTTTGCTGTTAAGACCATAATAATGCATTTCATTTCCAAGCATATTGCTCAACAGAAGCCATTCTACAATAAGGACTGTTAAAAAAAGGACATGGTGGACTTTGAAGGAACTTTAAAAGACGCCACACCATCTAATGGATTTTTACTACTAAACCCTTAAATATGTTCTAGACTTTACCTAATAACCAGATCACCTTTGAACAAATCACAATATCTGTAGTGTTTTACATCAATAATGGTACCATTAGAGAAACAGCTCTGTATTTGTAAATTAGCTGAGTTACCTGAAAGTTTTCTAATTCTTTTTTCTTGACCAAATCTGACATATAATCTATTAAATGTAATCCAAAGGCATTCTTGGAATTTATTTTCTGGAAAAGAAAGTATTCATAAAAACTTCATGACAAAGCAATCACATTTTGGGGCATTTTATGGGCATGAGAAATAAACTATAAAATGCATTGTTGCAGGTAATATAGGTATTGAAATAATACTATGTAAGTTGACCTCGGAAATAAAGCATAAATTTTTCATATATGAACTAAATTTTGTTTATGGAAATGTTCCAACTTAATTTAGTCTGTGACATGAATATTTGATGATTATGATATCTGTTCACAATAACTGCTCTTACAGGATAAAATCAAGTAGATATTATATTTAGCTCAAAGAACATTTTTATTTCCAAAAGACAATTTTGAACGGCTAACAATTATATAAAAAGGTTCTATAACAATCATCATAGAACTGAAAAGAAATTAATTAACAAAAGAATGGATTCTTCAGTAAACAAATACTAAAAATAACACATTTGATTTGTTCATGATTCTTTTTTTCAATGAAAAAACAAAACCCCAGCATTTATATTTGTCCCATTAAATAACTCTAAAAGCATTCTTTACATGCTTAATAAAATGTATAAAAAAAATAATCACTTCATGTTGGTATGTAAATTACATTGTATATCATGTATATAAATGAATACCAAAATATGTCTGACAACCACTAATTGTTTTTTTGTTTGATTGTGTTGTTGGATTGCTGTTATATTTATTTTTACCAAATTATCATTTTATTCATATACAATATAAGGGTTGCCACAATCAATTTAAAGGCAGTTTCTGCAAAAATAAAACCTATATGTCCATTTCATACAATTACAACTAACTTCTTAAACCAGATAGTTTGAAAAAAACTTATTCATTGAGTTCAGGTTGAAAATAATTCAAAAAATAAAATTGCCATACATTTTCTGCTGACAGCTTTATACAGTTGGTATAATGTTCGGAAAGTTGATTAGCTGTTAATCCATGGCTTGATGAAACAGAACTTGGCCTGAAAATATAAAGGAGAAAAATTTGTTTAATACACAATGCAAATGCATCCTATGTATAGCAATTACTGCACAACAACAACAGAACTAGTTATATGGATAATTATTTATGCCAAAAAATTTATGTGTTTACATCAACAGTTTTGATAAAATAGGGTTGGTCAGTCTGCATTTTTAAAATTTTTTATTTACATCTTGTGTACAAAGATTGAGTCATAATTCAAGCTAGAAACTGTCATTTATCAAGTGATTATAACCTTTGCATTGCTTTAAATTTGAACTATAAATGAAATTAAACACTCTTGTGTTACCATACAATGCAATTTTTCTTTAAATATGAAAATTGTATGCAAAGAAAGATAACTCAAGCCCAAATTTCTTTTGTAAAACTAGGGAAAATTACCAAAGCTCAACCACTGTGAACTTTCTTTCAATTACAGCTTAACTATTTGAGCATTTTTTTGTTTGTTGTGCTGTAACACCACTGTTCCAGGTTAGGGGAGAGTTGAGCGCTCAAACATGTTTAACTCCGCCACATTCTTTAAGTGCCTGTCCCAAGTTAGGAGCCAATAATTGCTTAAATCCACATCACATGAACTCTTGTTGATAGTTGTCTAATTGGCAATCATACCTCATCTCCTTATTTTTATGTTACTGCATAAACTTTAGTTTGCTTTTTCTGTTAGATGAACCATGAATTCTTGATATAAACAGAAACTGATCAAACAGGTTTTTCAATCATCATTTTGATATCTGCTTCAAGAGTTGATAGACTAATAATAATTGCTACTCAATCAATATGTAATAAATCAAAGTAATATTGATTTCATGGTCCACCAATAAAGATTTAAACCTAACATCATTGTTTTGTGCACACATTTAAAAAAAAAAACCAACATATTATACATGCTCAATCTCTTATAAGTCAATGTTTACAATTATTCCTTAAATAAGAGTCTTTTCAGTTTACACTAGTGGTTCCAAGGTTTGTCATAGCAAAGGTGGAATACATTAGGCATGTATATGTCGACATATAAATTAAACAACAATGTACCTTTCTGCAGGTGAAGCAGGACTCCCAACAGTTTGTTTCAGTTCTAATGCTCTGGAGCGACGTCGATCACGCTTCTCAGTACCAGCATCATATTCTTCCATATACATAGTCACCGGACTATCCATTCCTTTATGTCTGCTTGTTGATGGAGACACAAAACTACCTACTGTATTGCTAATACCAGACCGTTTCTGTATGGCTGGTGTTGTCAAAGGAGAGAGGACATCTGACCTGCTGGGCATCTATAGAAAGCAGAAATTTTTCAATTGATAATACATGTAAATGTAAAGAGGTTTCAATCTCTGGTTTTTCTTTAATACTTTGTTGGCAATTAATTTTTGTAATCTAACTATTTACTGCATGTCTGATCCATGTATCAAACAAACACAACTGTTATTAAAGTTGTGTATATACATAATTCAGTGTCATAGCTAGCTCAAAATATGTTAAGTCCAACACCCTGCCCTACTGAATGAAAAAAAATGTGATGAGTAGTGGGTATCAATTCATCAAACGCACAGAATCATGGTCATTTTTATGGTCCAAAGAAAGCCGCTGACAGTACAAATGAAACTTAAATATATTTTCACACCCTGATAACCATTGCTATAATTTTTTTTATTATTTTTCTGGGTATCCTATATTTCATGATAGAGACACAAAGATTTCTTGGGATTTGTCAACTTGTGGATCACCGCTCAAATAACTTAGATAAAAAAAATGCTTAAATATGTACAGCTGGTTTTTTTATATAGTATTTCTGTTTAAAAAAACAAAATGTTAGTTTTCAATATCACAGAATTGAAAATCTTGAAAAATTGTCATTATGTAAATCATTTGATTGTCCATTTTCACTGTTTCCCGATCATAAAAAAGTAAAAGTTCATGTGCTTATAATTAAAACTACATAGTAAATCACAGATTTGAATAATTAAAGCCATGTTCTCCAGGTAACAGACTTGGAGGGAAAGCATTGAAGTTCACAACAGGAAGATTGTTGGCTTTGGGGAAAATATATTAGTCCCTTTATACAGAGGGCACACGGCCGTGTGCAACTGGCTAGGGGGGTTTGGGGACATGCCCCCCAAAGAAAATTTTGAAAAATTAGGTGCAAAATCCTGCATTCTGAGAAGGAATAACTGCATGAATTGCAAACAAGATTCAAGAGATTTGCAAACAAAAAACATGATACGACACCAACAAAATCTCTCGTGGATGTCTATATGTGATTGGGAGTTTAAAGACTGAAAATTGGGAAAAAAAGTGCATATTTCTCTTTGGGATTGAGGCCCAAATTCGGACCCAAAATGAGGGTTGGAAAATCCCTGGGCTGTTCTGTATTCGTAATTCATTCATTCTTTACACAATTACAACACTAGTGTGTAGTTATTCTTCTTTGAATTCTTAAATTTGTTATTAGCGGTGACCCAAATTATTCAAGGAAATCAAAAATCCCAGGAATCAAATGAATCCACATGTACAGTATGTAACAAAAAAATTATATTCAAAAATATCTTTTATTTTATCCTACTTTCAGCTTTTATTTATTAAAATCTTTGTTAAATTATACATTTGTAGCTTCTAACTGAGGCCAAAAAATATATATTTCATGTGTTGTTCAGGGTTTCCTGAGAGTCCCCAATGTTCTTATGATGATTTATTCAAAGACTTTTTATCAACAAATTAGTTATTGTTGCGCAACCGCTAACTTACAATGAATGTCATCAAAATACGAGACAGAAATGATCAAAAATGTGGCCACATGACTATGACCATTGACACTTTAAACAACAGACTACTGGTAAGGGGTATGTATAATATCGGAACCGGATCAACTGATAATGCATTATTTTCCTTATTCCAACCAAAAGTAATTTTAAAACAAATTTATCGACTACTGACCCTTTACTTTTAAAGAAGGAAACCCTGATCACACGTTTTGGCCCCTTATGTTTAAACTTTGTTTTATAAATTAAAGCATTCAAATGATTGTTAAAAAGTTTACAAAGTCCGAAGGAGAGATTGTCAGCAAAATCTATGGGCATCAACAGTGAAGTTACTGAACCACAGACTACAGTATATGAATTGACATGATATGCTTTAAAGAAATCTTACCTACAATGTCTAATTATGAATGATAGGATAAGAAATTGATTTTGAAAGTTTTAGCTACATGTACAAGTATACGTACATGTAGTAGCAATTTATTTCAGTTACATGTAGTGGAAAAAAATTATACAAGCCAGTGTTCCAACTAGGATTTAAAAAGGGCAGGGTGCCAATCCTGAAAAAGGGCATTTAACGTGTGATATGATAATATGAAAAAGGCATGTTTTAATAAAGATTATAATAAAACATTGTTTGTTCATTGAATCACTGGTTATATATATACAAGAACAACATCATTAGCCCAGAGAAAAACTATCTTTCTACTTTTTAGGCTGAAAACTTGTCAAGCAGCTTGTCAGACAAGTTTTAAATCATTGCTTGGCACAGTTAAGCTTTATATGCAGTATTTTTTGAAAAATGTCCTGCTTCATTCTGTTTCTATGGTCTGACACACTTTACAAGTTTCACCTTTCTGCCTTTTCTGTGCTTAATGGCAATACAGCACAAAACAGCTGTAAATGCACAATGTTAGGATATAGTGAACAGTGAAAATTTGGATTGAAAATAAAAAATACATAAAATGACCAAGGCACCCTACAAACCCTGCTAATAAGACCCTCTTTAACTTTTCCCATAACTCAAAACACCTAAACATATAAATTCTAAAGCCAGAAGTATGAAGACATATTTTATAATATCTTAGTAGGTTACTCAATGCTAGGAAAAAATAAGATTGAGTTATCTTTCTTTATTTGGGTGTGCTCCTTCTTTGGAGGATAATAAACAGTACGTAGAAGATGTAAATACGATCAACAATATGGCGGCCGATTTTGTTATTTTCTTATAAAAAATGAAGGCAGTCAATGAAAAATACGTCTTAATTTGCTATTTATTTCACGGAAAACAATAAGAGCAATGTTTTTAACAAGTTGATTATGGTTTTCGACTTTCTGTCAATGACGTTTTCTCCATGAAACTACGGTAAACATTGCTAATTGTGCCCAAGTTGTATGAACATTTCTTCAAGTTCAAAGACAAATGCCGACTGACCGATTCTGTTTGAATGAATTAATGTTGATGATCATTAAATGACCCATCCGATAAACGGATTACCTATAACAACAGATTATGACACCTGTTGTAACCGTTGATTAGCTTGGGGTCGTAAACAAAGTCATATACTTGTCGCCAGGTAAATTTTCGTAATTGGCTGATCATATCAATACGAACAAAATAATATACCAATCGATCTTCAAAAAAGGCAGGGCGCCCTGCAAACTGTAAAAAGGGCACAGGGTGGCACTCGGGAAAGGGCGGGCAGACCGCCCTGTGAAAACGACCTAGCTTTTTACCAGTGAAGAAAAGTCAAATTCTATTCCTGAAGGTCATATAAACACTTGACCTGATGACCTACAGGTGCTGATTGGGGTAATCAGCTAATAGTTTATTTCAGCCATTAATGGCTATAGCTGACAGTGTAAAATTGTTTTAAGAAATGGAAGCCATAAATAAATTAAACAATTTTTAATTAAATGCTTATTATCACCTATGCACATGAATAAGATCTTGATTCTTCATGTCCATGTCTCAAATGTTTCAAATGCTGATATGCATTATTTGCCAATGAAATGTTGACAGATAAAATATAAAATCGCATTTGGTGATAAATTGGCAATGCCCTGATGTAGAAAATTTCAAATATTAAACAAGTTCAGGAACTAATTTATTTATAAACAAATTTTGAAAAGTTCAAATTACATTCATGGCAAAGGAAAATGCACTGAAAAGGTGTGATTATTAAAAATTGTGACATGCATTTAATATTAGACATAATTGTACAATGTTTAAAAAATGCATTCCTTGTGGATATTTTCTAGCATGTTTAGTTTACTACCATGACTACGTACAACTGAGAAAATATTTTCAAAATGTTTCATATCCTGTCCCTAGAAATAAAATTTCTTGGATTTGAAGTTGTGGGGAGCCAGAGAAGGCATCAAGGAAGTTACTATTTAATAATGATCCAATGTGAGTTATACATTTGTAACAAATTGGCTAAAGGACTTTCCACTTTCGTATCATGGCAAATAAATCCTTTTCCTTGTTTGTCATGGTGACAGGCCATGGTATTTTGTAGTGGCAGCCCAGGCAGGACTTAAATCTCAAAGTATGAAAAAAAAGCCTGAATGATTCAAGGAAATCAATATGAATATACTTGTAAAGTTGCAATCCTAGGCTATACCCATTATGTTGACTGTAAAAACAACTGACAAATCTTAAACTCACAGTATTTCAGAATCATTTTTAACAATTACTGTACTACAAAAGCACTTTTTTCTTTGGGAATAGTTGATGGTTACATTTTGTATTCCTGTTTCATGTATGTAGGGACTAGTGTCACATGTACTTACTGAACAACCCAACAATTAGTAAATACTGATGTGTGGTTATTCCTCATATTAAGCATTAGGTAACCATTATTCAAAATATAACTTGCGACTTTGATCAAGAAAAGTTCTGTTTTGCATCAGTACATGTGCAGACAATAATCAACACTGAAGAATCATCAAAAGGGAGACAACTGGGACTAAGATTTTGAACATTTGGAATTAACATGCATGATTTGTGTCCAGCTGCTTCTGTAGCTTTATAAACCTTAGTTTTCATATTTTTGTGTGTTCCTATTTTTTGTCTTAACTAGAATATGTGTATGATTATAGTAATCGCCATAAATCGGTTCTATTTTGGTATTCATCAGAATTTGACAGAAAATTATGAAATGAACCCGTTCTCATTTGGCTTAACACAATCATTAAGGGTGCACAGAGTGGTATAACATAGAACCAGTGGGGATTTTTGTAATTTTGTTTGGGTATTTTGCCAGTTAAACTATAAAAGTCACCTTTTGTGTTGTTTAGAACTAATCTATTGTTTTGAAGTTTCCGCCATCCGAATTGGTCTCGTTTGTGTACGAGATATTGCGAGATACCGGGACACACTAAGACAGTCTCGACATTTCCGTATAAGCCTCTGAAAGATGAAAAACATAATTATATTTTTTACGGTTCAAAACGATACAAATTCGACCAACAAACAAAAGGAAACGTCTGACAATAACAATATCTGTATCTGTATAAGTATTCAATGACATTTTGCAAGTAATTGCACAACTCCTTATTCGGAGTAAAGGTTACTAAAGAAAATCCACAATAGTAAATTTACACATCACGTATCATGTACATTTTTATATAAAAATATATTCACTAGTTCCAGATCAAATTTTGCTGTAAAAGGTAACACAAGTCTCTGTAAACAGATAAAAAGTTGCATGTGTCTAGGCTATAACCACATTTCCAATGCGATCTTTCGTGATTGTTCATCCTCTTCCTCCATCTTAGCTAACATTCTTGCAAGCATCAATCTCTTGCGGTTATTAATGAGTTGACTACTCAGGGATTTATTTAAGTGTTTTTTTTTTATCTATTTCTCAATCATCATTTGCACGCAGCATAGTGTAATGAATTTATAATAAATTGTATAATATCTAGCTGTGTGTTATATATATAGTATACGACATAGCAAAAAAAGCTCATTATATCTATTAATAATACATGTATTACTTTAAATTGTTGCTCTGACTTTCTTTTAGGCTTATCAACAACAAAAAATATGGAGTGTGATAAAGTTTTTTAGTCGGCTGGTGACGCAACGGTTTAAAAGTTGGACATAAATTATTCTGATTGTAAGCTGTTCTCATTATTTGTTTCGTGTAGAATATAAGTTTCTGATGACATCTTTATTCTAATCGGGAGTCTGTTCTGCTTTTTGCTGTTTTCTAATTTTATGTGTTGACGTGATATAATTTAATGTGACGTATTATCAAAATATCATGACAATTTTCATAATTTTATTTTTTAAATTCAATTTTTTAGTAAACATGTAAATCAGTTAGTGTCTATAAACTATGTCTAGCGCTATTGTAATATATTGTACCTGTCAAATTCATGCCTTTTATCTTGAATAAATATATAGACGTAGTTACTTTTTTATCATTGATTCTCAATATCCATGCATTTTGAAAAATATCATTACAAATTTATTTGCTTTAACTCGTTTAAAGCTTTTTTCTGTAACGAAAAAGGAAAGTATGCTCGATACACTTACTGGAAATGTGAAGATATGATTGAAGCTTTAAATTTTCTCCTGGACAACATATATGTACGTTTCGGCGATAAAGTGTATCGACAAGTAGTAGGTATTCCTATGGGCACTAACTGCGCCCCTTTAATAGCAGATTTATTTCTGTATTGCTATGAATCTCAGTTTATGATCAAACTCAGTAAAGACACGTCATTGTTACATTTGGTTGATACATTCAACAATACCTTCCGTTATCTAGATGATATTTTTTCGTTAAATAATCCAGAGTCTTCTAAATATGCTACAGAAATTTACCCAAAAGAACTTACTTTAACTAAATCTAACATAAACAGCAGTAGTTGTCTTTTTCTAGATTTGGATATTTCAATCTCTAAAGGAAAACTCCATACTAAAATTTACGACAAAAGAGACGACTTTTCATTCCCTATTGTTAATTTTCCTTTTTTAGACGGCGATGTTCCTTTGGCTCCATCATACGGTGTTTATAAATCCCAACTCGTTCGTTATGCCCGTGTGTGTAGTGATGTCATAGATTTTAACGAACATAATCACTGGTAAATTATGAAGTCAGGGATTTCGTAACCATAAATTACGTAAAACTTTTAATAAATTCTTTCATAGATACAAAGATTCTCTGATGCATGATTTTTTTATTATTAATTGTTTTTGGCTTTTAACTAGCTGTCAGTAACTGCGAGTACTCTCAAATTGTACTTTCTTGTTTATGACCTGCTGATACTAATTGTAATGCTTTTTTGTTATTTAATGTTATTCAGGGTTATATCTGGTCTATATACCAGCTTTGATAAGTGTTTGGTATTACTATCATTTTTCACTTCTTCGTACTATGAGCATCAAAATTATTTATTTTGTAAAAATATTTCCTTTCTCTATTTGAACTGTACACGTATACCTAACAACAAAATTATTTTTATTTACCTGTGTTTAAAAAGTAATTGCAAATGGCTGATATTTTTGTTAAAGTATATTGTTTTTTTTTAGATTGTTTAACATTTCACAGCGGTATAACATGTTACTTTAAATATTCTTCCCTAATTAGTTTATTTATTTTGTATTTGCATTGTATCATAGATCAAATTTATTTGTTCGGTGTATATTCACTGGTGTTAATATATGTCTTTTGATTGAGTTAAGCCATTTCAAGTGATATTTTATAGTGTGTTTTTCTATGTTTAACGTTACGTACACTATTGTTTCAAATAAGGGTGAAGGTTTGGTACCATTAAAACGTTTAAACCCGCTGCAATTGTTTACACTTGTCCTAAGTCAGGAATCTGATGTTCAGTAGTTGTCGTTGATGTGGTTCATAAGTGTTTCTCGTTTCTCGTTTTTTATATAGATTAGACCGTTGGTTTTCCCGTTTGAATGGTTTTACACTAGTAATTTTGGGGGCCCTTTATAACTTGCTGTTCCGTGTGAGCCAAGGCTCCGTGTTGAAGACCGAACTTTGACCTTTTATAAATTTTGACTTGTATAGAGAGTTGTCTCATTGGCACTCATACCACATCTTCTTATATCTATTATTTGTGTAATGTATATAGCATTTTGTACTTACTTTACGAGGTCCCCAAGTAATTAAGATTAGTGAAAATTAATTGGTTTATCCTCTTTAAATAAAGATTAATATTATTCAATTTAATGCTGTTCACGGCAATGTTCTTAAACAAATCATATTTCAATCATGCAAAAAAATAAGTAATACCGACCCTTTCCCGTCATGGTTGACACTGTTATAAAAATATAATTGGATACTGACAATGGGTAGTAATAATGTATGCGCTGTATCTGTTATCCAATCCAAATTATTTAATTTTTAATCAAATATTTAAAAAGATACATAAAAAAATCACCGATAACAATAAAATTCGTTTCAGTAATGAGTATATTATTGGAAATAGCACAACAGAGGCGTGGGCAACAAAGAACAAAGTATGAAACTCATTTGAAAAGGGCCTGACTCATTAGATCGCCGATACAGAACACAAACTACTAAGACACAAAGTATCGATCGGATAATGCTCGTAGTTACTGAAAGCTATTTGAAAGTAAATAACAACTAATAAAATAATCATGTATCTACAGCAAAATATCAATCGGTATACATTATTCAATGGATTAAGTGTAAAGACGTCATAAACAGTCTAGGAAAGCAAGGATTTGTATAGTAAGACCTTCTTACTATACAAATCCTTGAGGAAACCACATGGCTTTCTTCAATAAGGTATCAAAACACTTGTCCACTTTTTTGTGTGATTTTCTTCTAAAAAAACATGTAAAACGCAATCTGTATTATCAGATCTACTTCTCCTGTGGTATGAATTTCAATCCGACATAACAATTTTTTATTCCGCGATATGGGCCCGACTTCGAGTTATGCAGTACATAAATTATTTTACCTTCTGTTTCAAAACCGTTGATTTCATTGGTTGATATTTTTAGCAGCGCCATCTTCAAAAACAACAAGCTTAGCGGATCAGTAGGACAAAAATTGAAGATCGAAAAAATCAGTGATTGTACAGTATTTTAATTTGATTTTAACAGCAAATGCTGAATATTTCTTAATTTTTTAATACTGGGAAATGACATTTGTGTTTACAACTCGGACAATATAGATTATTAAGTGTAAAGACCAGTAATGGTGCTTTTCATCATACACTTATATTTTTTTTTAACTTGTATACCATTTATTGTACGTATTTTAGTCTAAGGACAAAAGTGTTTCACATATTCAAGATATGTGATCTTCCAAATTGGTGCTTTTTCTCAGAAATGTTTGTATGCCCCCTCTATAGTCCGAATAATTATGACGTCTTGAAAGGCTATTTTAATTTTTTCTGTGATGCCCTCCTACTGTCCAGAGTAGGAAGGTGGCTCACAGAAAAAATTAAAAAAGCCTTAGGAAGGCATCATGGAAAAAATTAAAATAGCCTTTCAAGACGTCATAATTATTTGGACGACGTAGGAAGGCGTCACAGAATAAATTAAAATAGCCTTTCAAGACGTCATAATTATTTGGACTACCCCCTCAGCTGCACAGGGGGCATTTAGTGTTACCTTTGTCAGTACGTCCCAAAATAAGTTTCCGTTCTCTAACTTAAGTTTGCCTCAACCTAATGTTATGAAACTTAAACACAATGTTTATTACCACAAAACACAGATCAAATTTGGGTTGCATCACTTTTACAGTTCTTCAGTTATGTCCCTTTGTAACGTTATATATATATATATATATGCAAGTGAGAGCATCATCTGTGTCACATGGACACCTTTTCCGTTTATTTTTATATCAATCGCAATGGAAGTAAATCTCATTTATTCTTGATTATTTATAAAATGAATAACTAACAAGTTTTTATGTATAAAAAAGTTATTGCTTAGGGGCAAAAGGGGAATAAGTATATTTTAGAGTTTTATGTTACCACGTGACATCACTAGTGGGTTTATCAGTGTCTGAGTACAAACATACAGTTATCACCTGTACTTATTATATAATGGAAAGAGATGTTTGAATTCAGTTATAATGTATAATATAATATAATTGGTTTCCTGTTTGAATGGTTTTACACTAGTAATTTTTGTGGCCCTTTATAGCTTGCTGTTCGGTGTGAGCCAAGGCTCCATGTTGAAGGCCATACTTTGACCTATAATGGTTTTCTTTTACAAATTGTGGCACTCATACCACATCTTCTTATATCTATAAACACACATAATATAGCAGTCATAATCAAATGGTTTGTGGCACTAAGTGCATTTATTTTTTTTTAATGTGCCCCTCGCCATAGACAACAGGATCATTAAGTGTTACCCTTGACCATCTGTCTTTCCATTCTTCATTCCCTCACATTTTCATTCCGTACTCTTAACATAAGTTTTACTCATCCAAATTTTATGAAATCATACACAATGCTCTAAAACTTGCAGACAGAGTTCAAATATGGGCAGTGAGTCACTTAACTGTACTAGAGTTATGCCCCTTTATAACTTTGAAAATTGCAAATGTTTTCGTTTCTGCACTCTAACAAGTTTTCCTCATCCATATTTATGAAACTCATACATAATGCTGAGAACTAAAACTCACCATGCTCACAGATAGAGTTCATATTTTGTTAGTTTTAGAGTTATGTCCCATTATAACTTGGAAAATTGCAAATGTTTTCGTTTCGACACTCTAATTTAAGTTTTCTTCAACAAAATTTTATTAAACTCATACATAATGCTAAGAATCACAACACACAGACAGAGTTTGAATATTGGCAGTATGTCATTAACCGTTCTAGATTTATGCCCCTTTATGAATTGGAAAATTGCAATTTTTTCAGTTTCCGCACTCTAACAAGTTTGTTTCATCCAAATTTTATGAAACTCATACACAATGCTAAGAACCACAACATGCAGACAGAGTTGGAATTTGGGCAGCTTGTTATTTACTGTTCTAGATTTATGCCCCTTTTTAACTTGGAAAATTGCAAGGCTTGAGCGGGGGCATTCGTGTCCTCATACACATTCTTCTTTTATTGTTAATTTTGCAAATATGATAATGTAATAAATTTACGTGTTTCAGATTATTATGGCATCCCTTGCCTTCCAACCATATGTTGATAAAGAGAATGCAGGATCATTTGGAGTCCGACCCAATAAAGGACAGATAGGTGGTGGACTAGGTAAGAATTATAAAAGAGAGATTAAGTGATGGGTTAAGTCGAATATTGATAAACAAAAGTACCTAACATCATTTGCATGGTTTATGAATAAAAAAGGCAAAAAATGGAATGGTAAAATTTTACAGAGTTTTGAAAAGTGTCTGTCTGTATGACAATTTTCTTTTTGAGAACATTGTATTTGATATGGTACTTCAACATTATGTGCAGTTTCAGTTCTAAGAGGATTTTTGTATTAAACAAAAAATATACTGCACAAATCATATAAACATGAATACACAAATATTTGCAAAATATTTTTTATTGAACCTAATTTTTATGAATAAATTGAAGAAATTTAGTCTGAAAAATTTATATATGAAATTAACTGATGACTTGTCATAACATTTTTTAGGGAAGGTGTTCAATAAAGGTAATGAGCAGAGTCTTGTCACACCTAGACGTGCCCTAGGTGATGTAAACAGAGATCTGAAGGCAGTAAATAATGGACCTGGTCTTAAACCTATGCAGAAACCTTCAGTACTTCCACTACAGAACAAAGGGCTGCAAATGAAATCAACTAACATACAGCCCCTGACTGGTCGATCTGGTAATATAATGCAGGTAATGGTAGATACGTAGATAAGGATCAGGCGCAACAGTTATATAGGGTTCTCACTAAGAGGAGTCTATGAGTCCTGGACTCATGAAAATCTGTCAGCACTCATTATTTTCTGACTTGATGAGTCAGAGATGCTTGAAGTTTGTACATTGTTGTATGAGTCCAGTTATCATCATTTCCTCAAAGCCAAAATTAAAAGAATTAATCTAAATTTTGTTTTATTTCCTTACCCTTATATTTTCACTTCTATGAAAGAGAGGGGAAAGATACCAAAAGGAACATCCAATCTCATAAGTCGAAAACAAACTGACAACGCCATGGCAAAATATGAAAAACGGCCAAAAGACAAACAACAGTATACCAAACACAATATAGAAAACTAAAGACTGAGCAACAGGAAGCTACATACAAAAATACTTAATGAGAACCCTGGTTTTACACAGAACTATCTAGTTTTATGACATGTTTTTTGAACTGTAACTGTTTGGATATGATACTCCATGTTGTGAAAAATCTCTGCAATCAAAAGAACTCCTGTAAAATTCCAGAAATAAATGTAGGGGGATGTTTGCTTGTCCTGAATATGCAGAGGGCTATTCCAGAAATAAATGTAGGGGGATGTTTGCTTGTCCTGAATATTCAGAGGGCTATTCCAGAAATAAATGTAGGGGGATGTTTGCTTGTCCTGAATATGCAGAGGGCTATTCCAGAAATAAATGTAGGGGGATGTTTGCTTGTCCTGAATATGCAGAGAGCTATTCCAGAAATAAATGTAGGGGATGTTTGCTTGTCCTGAATATGCAGAGAGCTATTCCAGAAATAAATGTAGGGGGATGTTTGCTTGTCCTGAATATGCAGAGGGCTATTCCAGAAATAAATGTAGTGGGGTGTTTGAAGGCATTTTTTATTTAACCCCGCCATGCATAAAATTTAAAGTGATTATTTCATATAATTATTAAGGCTATATGTCTAAAATAACCACCACCCATCAAATCCCCCAACCCCCATTCAATAATTCAAGTATATTTGCTACTATACAATAAGCAAATAATCAATTCATCAATATTTCTTAACCGTGATGAGGTTTACCAAGATATTTACTACAATATACTACAGTAAACTAATTTTTATGTATGGCAAAATACATCATTGGTCTCTTGAATAGCAAAGATTTTTAGCCCTATAAAGCTCAGTATTTTTGAAATAGTAAATGAGACAAGATTAAAAAGTCTATGCAAGGAAATTGTTAAAAAAAACAAAATGACTTGCAGATTTCCAGTTTGTTTCAACAGACCTTTCGTTGACATCTGATTGTTTTCGTAGTTTATTTTAAATAACATTAATGCATGCATAATTAATATATTGTAGTTTATCTGGCAGGTAGATTATCATAAATGATATGTATACATACAGGTATTATTAATGCTTGAAATATATTTCAGAAACTGTCAGTGAATCAAAACCTGAGGAAAAAATATTAATGCTTGAAATATATTTCAGAAACCGTCAGTGAATGAAAACCTGAGGAAAAAGTCGATAAGTACCAATAAAGTTACAGTAAAGACAGAGCCTGTACACAAAAGACTGGTTGAGGATATAGAACATATGCACATTCCTAAAGAAGAAGGTTGGTATTTTGTCTTGCCTGCGACAAATCAGGTGTAAACGGTGTAAACAATTGGTTTACAGATTTATATTTTAGAAGTTAGAGAACTGGATGCTTCATACCTTGTATGCAGATGCCTTCTGTAACAATGTGTCCATTTGTCCATTTTCATGGTTCTGTGACTGCTTGAAAAAAATTGAGTTTTTTTCTCATATGAAATACTCACTTATAATAAGTAATAGGATAAATGTATTTGGTATATGGGATCAATACAATGGTCACCTTTTTAGCTCACATGTCCCAAAGGGCCAAGTGAGCTTTTCTCATCACTTGGCATCTGTCGTCCTGCTTCCCTTGTCCGTAAACTTTTACAAAAATCTTCTCCTCTGAAACTACTGGGCCAAATTTGACCAAACTTGGCCACAATCATTATTGGGGTATCTAGTTTAAAAAATGTGTCCGGTGACCCGGCCAACCAACCAAGATGGCCGCCATGGCTAAAAATAGAACATAGGGGTAAAATGTAGATTTTGGCTAATATCTCTGAAACCAAAGCATTTAGACCAAATCTGACATGGGGTAAAATTGTTTATCAGGTCAAGATCTATCTGCCCTGAAATTTTCAGACCAATCAGGCAACACGTTGTTGGGTTGCTGCCCCTGAATCTGTAATTTTAAGGAAATTTTGTCGTTTTTGGTTATTATCGGGAATATTATTATAGATAGAGATAAACTGTAAACAGCAATAATGTTCAGCAAAGTAAGATCTACAAATAAGTCAACTGGGTAAAATGGTCAGTTGACCCCTTAAGGAGTGATTGCCCTTTATAATAAATTTTTAACCATTTTTCGTAAATTTTTGTAATCTTTTACAAAAATCTTCTCCTCTGAAACTTCTAAGACAAATTTTACCAATATTGTCCACAATCATCATTAGGGTATCTAGTTTTCAAAATGTGTCCGATGACCCCGCCCGCGAACCAAGATGGCCTACATGGCTAAAAAATAGTACATAGGGTAAAATGCAGTTTTTGGCTCATATCTCTGAAACCAAAGCATTTAGAGCAAATCTGACAGGATAAAATTGTTCATTAGGTCAAGATCTATCTGCCCTGAAATTTTCAGACCAATCAGGCAACACATTGTTGGGTTGCTGCCCCTGAATTGGTAATTTTAAGAAAATTTGGCAGCTTTTGGTTATTATCTTGAATATTATTATAGATAGAGATAAACTGTAAACAGCAATAATGTACAGCAAAGTAAGATCTACAAATAAGTCAACATGACCAAAATTGTCAATTGACCCCTTTAGGAGTTATTGCCCTTTATAGTCAATTTTTTACAATTTTCATAAATTTTGTAAATTTTTACAAAAGATTTTCCACTGTAACTACTGGGCCAAGTTCATTATAGATAGAGATAATTGTAAGCAGCAAGAATGTTCAATAAAGTAAGATCTACAAACACATCACCATCACCAAAACACAATTTTTCATGAATCCATCTGTGTCCTTTGTTTAATATGCACATAGACCAAGGTGAGCGACACAGGCCTTTTAGAGCCTCTAGTTTTGGTGTGTTAACTGATTGTAAGGTGTACATGTCCGACTGGCAGGTTTCATCTGACCTTCCTGGTTAAGTATATACGGTATGTTTGTTTAATTTCTCCTATAAGCAATAGGTCAACTATATTTGGTGTATGGTATTATTGTAAGGTGTACATGTCTGTCTGGAATAGTTCATCTAACCGTGACCTCATTTTCATGGATCCTTGACAATGATTACTGTATGTGATACTTGAAGTAAAATCTTCATTTACAGACTATAAAAAAAATTCAAGTAAAGCAGGCGAGACATTTCAGCATGTGCACTCTTGGTTAGTTATAATAATGAAAAATTCTACACTTCAATTCTTATGTTGTCTATTTTATTAGACATGATTTTAGATTGTGCCATTGTATCTTTTCTCTCTTTTTTATTTATAGACACTTTATCCTACCACCTAATTTCTTGTTGGGCCAAAATCACACAAAGTTTTAATGGTAGTCATGAAATGTCTTGCAGAGTTTGTATAAAGAAAAAAACATTACAAATGAGATCAGAATAAATGTGACTAGTAGCTAAAAATTTGGCTGGATGACAACAATGACAATGCTTCATTTTTTTTATGTCTCTGATTTTAATCTGAAGAAATTAAGAAATACATTGTCATCCAATTGATATTTAAGACAGTGATCTGAAAGATTGAAAAGTGAATTATTACATTGTTATATCATTTGTATTTAGAGGATGATTTTGAGGACATTTGGCCAAAAGCTGACAGAATTAGTACATACATTAATAAGTTAGTACGTTGGAGACCACCTTGTTTGTTTGGGGAACTGCCTGACTCAAGTGATGAGGAAGAAGAGAAGTTAGAGAGGCAAAGGATGAGGGAGGAAGAAGATAGAATGATGGTAGCATCTTTAGCTAAATATTCAACAGAAAAATCAGGTATCGGACATTTTTCTTAAACTTTTAGAGCTATATATGGCTTATTATATGGTGTGGGATCATGAATAAAAAAACTGAATTTTTACCATCAATTTTTGTTTCACCTTGACACGGTCAAAAAGCGTGACTTAGGTATGCTGTTTCCATCGGTAGCAATAAACAATTTGAAAAAGTTAGGTCAGTTTAAGAGGAACCACTAAGGGTAAATCAATGATATTTGGTATGCAGTTGTATAACTATAAGCATTGTCACATCTCATTTCCATGGATATTATTTGGCTCAGTCATGGTCTATTATTGACTTTGAAACTTTTGTATAGTTTACATGTTAAAGTTTGTTATTGGGTCAGCTTAAGGATGTACACCTCTGAGGAGCCAAAAATGTCTAGAATTAAACTTTTTTTCTTAACCTGATTTTTGGGTTAATATGACTGTAAAAAAATAATGAGTGGAGAAAAAATCATATGGTGGTGTACTTCCTTTTTTGTTACAGCCATTTGAAAGGACCCAATTTTGATGATTTTCACATTTTTCATCCATTTTTGGGCTATTATCATGACAAAAATCACAGTTTCACAATTAAACTTTTTTTCATACTTTCACTAAAGATGAAGTGGACCAATCTGAATAAATTTAACTTAAAAAAACTATGGGTAGGTGTTAATATAAGAAAGTTTTATAAAATTTTGTTGATTTTTCGTGTCAAATTTACCATATTGTCAATTTTGTAAATTTGGGATTTTTCTCTTTTTTTCTAGAACAAAAAGCATATTATTTCAACTTCTTTGTTATAAATGATTGAAAAAATACATATCTAAGAAATTTGAAAAGAAAAAAATTATATGGGATGTACATGTATCTGGTAAAATCATTTCTTGTACCCCTCACCCATTTTCTCAACATTTTGGCTAATGAGACTGACTTGATTGGTTATAAAATTTTAAAATTTTATTACTCAAAAACTACTTATTGTAAATACACAATTTTTTCACAGAGTTAAGTTTGATTATAATATTTTTTAAATTCATTGATATTTTCCACTTGTATCACATGTTTTGGAAATAATTCCAGAACGAGATTTCAACGAGACTGAAACGTCAGAAGAATGCATCCTTAAGGGGAATCACTTATGATAAAGTCATTTCTATTTTATATGCAGTTGTATAAGCTTTGGTACATCTCATTTCCATGGAGACTATTTGGCCCCTGCCCCTTAGTTATGGTCTAGTGACTTTAAAACTTTTGTATAGTTTTTGATTAGGTCAGTTTATGTTGTTTCTGCTCTTTGGTCGGGTTGTTGCCTCTCTTGACATATTCCCAGTTTCCATTCTCTATTCTATTATGGGGAACCACTAATGATGAGTCAATGATATTTAGTATATATCGGTAGTTGTATTGGCATTGACATATATTATAACTCAGAATTTAATTCTCTGTTCCTTCAAGTCATTGTTCTTTGACTTTTAGTATTTTGCATAATTTACATGTAAAAGTATTGCTTTTTTAATTTCAACATTTGTATTTTACTATCAAAATTATATACAGGCAAGACAGTCTGTGTGTCAACAGTTTATTTTCTTGTTGTCATCTCATTTTCAACATCACTAAATTTGTTTATTGAATATGTAAGTACATTGATGACTGGTATTGATAGCTGTGTAATATTTACCTCAAAACCTATTTTTTAAAGAAAAATTAACTTGATGAACTAAATTTGATAAGTTGGGGATAGTTGGTGTTGGTTGATTCATTGCATCTGTGACATTGGAAAGAAAAACAACTTGTAGACAAAATATTTAAGAATCATCAGTTGAATTGCAGATGTGCAAAATTTAAATGTTCTGTTTAATCTTCTGTTTCAGATTATTCAGATGAAATTAGATTTGAAGATTTATTAGAACCAGAAGATTTTGAAGATGTACCTCTCCCCTCAATATCTCTAGACAATTCTATAGACTTACTGCCGAACATTGGACCTCTTCAACTCAAGGAAGGAATGTGAACATGCATATACATTTTCTTTCATGAATTGCTACGGGATCCACGATTTAAATATAACAACAGAATATTAAATCTGAACTTGGGCATTTGTTTTGCAATACTCAACTTATCTGTTAGTCGTGATGTAATAAGGTTGCTATGATAGATTGAAATTTTATATTTCTACAAACATTTCTGCAATGTAAATATTTAATGAATGTGTATAGCTGTGTCTAAGTGAGAAAGTGAGTTTTGTTAGGGAAAAGGAATGAAAGAAGATTATTTTATAAAGCTTTAATTATGATGTGTGTATTACTGCTGTCAAAATTCTGTCCTTTGTGACATTTTGAGACTGTTCATTTATTTTTATTTTTTTATAGTTTATCAACTGATTATGCTTTGGTAGATAAATGGCTATCTCTAGCTTGTAACTTGTAGAGAGCACAAATTTTGCATTTACAGTTTTGAATAATTTAAAAAAAAACTCCCCTCCCCTTTTTTGATAGATAAATGAAATAAAATAAAGATCGTAAGTTAGTAAACCCAATTTATATGCAAATTCTGCTCTATTACTGTTTGATAATAGGAAACTTTCATATCTAGAGCAGTCAGTTTATGATTTTCCAGACACATAGTGACTTGCCACCAGAAAGTTGGCATCTCATGATTTGTTTGGAGTTATCACAGACAGGACAACATAAATTTAATTGTTTTATTGTTAGCATAATCTTGAACCAGTAGATGTAATCTACTTAATTACAAAACTTCTATAGCTAGTTGAGTGGTAAATCAGGCCAAAATTTAAAATTTTCTTTTTAGAAAAAAACTTTTTTTATTTAAAAGATGATCTCTTTGGTATCAGGTGAAATAAGGATTTGTAAAAATTACTTTTAAATGGTTTTATTTTCACTTTCTATCATTTATTTGTGTTTCATGTGTTTATTTTTAATACACTTGTAAAAATTGTATATAGTATGTAAATTAGTAATAAATTATGAAAATAAAGCTGATTTATTGTATTTACCATTTTGAAACTTCAACACAGTTAATCAGACAAAACTTATCAACTAAGTGAATTGTAAGATGAACTTGTTATATATTTTGATAAGATTGAAAGATCTGTGAAAATATTTTTTCTATCACAAACTTGGTGAAAAGCTTGAAAAATTTGTAAGATGATCCTTTTTCATAAAAAGACCAGATGTATGGCCAACTTAACTGTATTTATTTCACAAACCGGTTAGGGATTTTTTTTACAAATTGAAGCTGGGAGCAGGAAGTGTAACCATACATCAACTTTGAACTCATTTATACTCCCTCTTTGAATTGCCCACTTGGGCCTTTTTGCCATGGCAGCCTTAGGTCATTGCCTTTCATTTGTATCGAATGTGGACAAAAACTTTGCTGTAGGTAATTATTTACGAAATAGACGGGAGGATGGGCTGGGTTGCCATAATCCAGCTTTGTACTTCAGTTGAAGTCTTTCAGGAATTTTACAACCTGGGCAAGTTCAGTTATTGCCTATGATTTGTATCTAGCGTGGACAAAAGCTTTGCTTTAGGGATTTTTTTACGAAGGAAAGCTGGAAGGGGTATGGTCGCCATATTTATATCTATTTTACAGATTTCCAAACAGAATGCCATGAAATGTGCAAGCCTTTTGATACTTTGTCATAAGCTTATCCATTATTAAATTAACTTCAGAAAAAAATACCTTTGTTATAATAGAATATGACAAATTACATGAATAAAGGGTTGAAGGAGTGACACCTTACTGTCATGTGTAGTTGACCATATACTGTCATTTTGATCAAACTATTTATACAGGAGTTATGGGACTTTTTTTAAATTGTAAAGTGTCATTTTGTAAACACAACTCCTCAGATCTTTTGACAGAAAGCTCTCACACTTTGTAGGATTGTTTGTCATCATGTGCAGTTGATCATATTTTGATCTGACCATTTAAACAGGAGTTGTGGGACTTTGACTTTTTTTGGTGAATTGTAATAGTGTAACCTTGTGAATGTTACTCCTCCGAGACCATTTGACAGAAAGCGCTCATACCTCATAGGATTGTTTGCCATCATGTGTAGTTGACCATATTATACTGCAATTTTGATTTGACAGTCATTCCCAAAGTCGCCAGACATTGGACAAAAACCAGTTAAAATTGGTTTGGTCCACAGGGGCAGATCCAGGATTTTAGGTTAGGGGTGGCAAATTTTTGTTCTCACCTCACCGGGATTCGAACTCATGCTATTGGGATATCGAGACAACACCCCCTACACTGTGCCCAGCACTCTAGACCACTCGGCCACCTAGACTGAACTAAAAATTCAGCTTTCAATGGCCTAGTGTTACCTTTCCACTTCTAAACAAGTGTTCTGCAAATTTGCAGATTTAACATTGTTGAGCTGATATTTAGAGTAATTATGAATATAATATGTGTTTTCAGCCGTGTTTCACCTTCACTGGTGATCCAATGGATGGATCTGTTGTCACTTGTTTAGATGTACTTATATATAATTATATATTCCATCTTCATGCCTTATATATCATGTACTGTGTTACAGTTCTAGATTCTACTGACGTGGAAAAGTAACACTAGGCCATCGAAAGCTGAATTTTTAGTTCAGTCTAGGTGGCCGAGTGGTCTAGAGTGCTGGGCACAGTGTAGGCGGTGTTGTCTCGATATCCCAATAGCATGAGTTCGAATCCCGGTGAGGTGAGAACAAAAATTTGCTTCCGGAAATTTGCAGATTTAACAATGTTGTGCTGATATTTATAGTTATTATGAATATAATATGTGTTTTCAGCCGTGTATCACCTTCACTGGTGATCCAATGGATGTATATATATACACTGTATATAACTCGTCTCAAATTTAACACAATATTAGATCTTTAAATTTGCGTTAGCAAATTTTTGTTCTTTCCTCAGCGGGTTTCAAACCCTTGCTTCTGTGACATTGTGGCAACAACGCCTGCACCGTGGTCGAATAAATTGACAAGATTCATTTTACATTATACTGAATGATGAATGAGGGGCCTGATGGGTTATTTTCGTGCTTCGTGATCGGCGCATTTTCGCTATCGTGATCCGTTTTTCTACAGATTTTTTTTTTTATATTTTCGTGATCCGTGATCATGGAAATTTATTTTCTGTGAATCGTGATTGACAAAAAAATCAACTCGTGAATCGTGATGAGACCCCCCTATCAGGCCCCTCATGAATGCTATCTGTTATCCAAATATTTATTGACGAATAACAATGTCTGAAATATTAACATTTCTAAGTTCTGTGGTATTTTTTGGGTGTTCTGTAGTAAAAAGATGCTCCCTTCTTAAGCAGCAAAAAATCACTACAATGAGCTGCAAAAGTTTCTTATCTGCATCCGATTTCACCTGGATAGATGCACGCTCGATGAAGCTAGTTTGTCTAGCGAAATATTGCCTTTGCTTTTTATCGCATTGCAAATATTTTAATCATTTAATATTTACATTCTAAATAGTGTGTTAAAATTACATTGTTAGGCAATTTATATATATATATATAAATATATAGGTTTGAACGTCGTTTTCAATTTAGACTTGTTTATAAATATATATATATATATATATATATAAGTACGTCTGAACCAGTGACAACTCTACAACAGATTTATCCATCGGATCACCAGCAGTGATGGTGATACATGGCTGTGTACATTCTGTATATTCAACTCGTCTAAACATCAGCCCAACAATGTATATATATATATACTTGTTTCCTGGTTTCTTTCAGAAAAAAAAAATAGATAGCTACATGTTGGTAGATAAGATGATTTCCTTTTCAAAATATTTCAAGCCAGACTACATGTACATAGGGAAATGTTCTGGGCTTTAAGGTCTCTTAATAAAAATGTCTGACTTCAACTGTGTCCATAATATGTGTTAGTATAGACATACAAATTGAGGGTAGGTATGGAATTAGGAAACAATGATTTTTTTGGCTTATTGAAATCAAGACAGACTGGTGACCTATATTTAATCCTTTGATCATTTGATATCTATACCCCCGTTCCAAAGGAGGTAAGGGGTTATACAGATTTACCTCTGTTTGTCGTCCATCTGTCTGTTGGACCAATGAACATTTGCAATTTTCTCAGGATCTACATATAAGATCTTCCTAAAATGTTTGTTCAATCTTCTTATGAACATGCTATACCGTGTGATGCAGTTTCAGATTAATCAATCGTAAACCTATTAACCAAATACTTATTTTCTTACATATAATGGCCGTGTACGAATTTTTTTGTCACATTTTAAGCTCACCTGCCCCATAGGTCCAATAGAAAGCTCACCTGGCCCGTAAATTTATTAAAAAAAATCAACTTTACAAGATCTTCAGAAAGGACAGCATAGATGAAATTGTCAGCTGTTTCTTATAGGAGTTATTGCCCTTAATTAAGGATTTTTGTACCCCTTTTTGTGATTTAGGCAAAAATTGTCGAAGATGGAGAGAAACTGAACCGAAAAAATTATCAGCAATACAAGAACGACAAAAAAGAGATTTTAGTCAGCAATTATAATCTAGTTTACAATCTTGGGAGAGTGTCTATTAGTGAAGATGTACATAGACCTAGGTGAGTGACACAGGCTCTTAAGAGTCTCTAGTTCTAGGGAACTCAAAATCAGATCTTCCTGTAATTTGTTATCAGTCCTGATATGATCACTCTATACAGTATGATGCGGTTTTAGATTCATCAATCGTCAACTTCCTGTTTTCCGAATACTGATATATTCCTGCGACTTATAGTAGTCTCAATATATTCTTATATATAATGGCCATGTATGAATTTTCCTCGTTTTTTTGTAGGGAACTACAAATAAGATCTTCTTGAAATTTGATATCAGTTATCATATGATCATGCTATATACCATGTTTCAGATTAATCGATCGTCAATTTCCGGTTTACTGAATATTTTGAAATTCGAATACATAATAGTCATGTGCATGAGTTTTTCGTTGCATTTTTCTAGGGAACTACAAATAAGAGCTTCCTTAAAGTTGATGTCAAGTTTCATGTGAGCATGTTTTATTGTGTTATGCTTTTTTAGATTTATGACCAATCAATTTCCTGTGTACATTTTTTAAGGGGGGGAGGGGTATCATAAATGAGCAGTAGCTCACATTTTTACTTGTTTTAACCAAGGAATTGTATATTTAAATTTAAATATACAATTCCTTGTTTGAACACCTAATAGATTAAAAACAGCTTTACTCCTAGGGACAATGTAATTTTAATATATATTGGAGAAGTCTGATATACGTAACGGTTAGTCAATGGAAAGGTATATACTATAAAATTAGTGCGATGGGCTCTGTCAGAGCACCTAATTTAAAAGCAGTTAAGCACATATTCACAACTCGCGTCATCTTATAATTGGTCTATTGGCAGACCACTTGTTTCACAGGTGTTTGTTAAAAGGAGTCTATTATTAACTAAGTTTAGTGTTATGTAAATCTAATTACTAGTGCATGTATCATAGCTGTCATATATGTTCAATTTGTGACGGTGATTTACCAGATCTTAAATTTACAAATGCAGCAAACACGAATACGGAACTTGGCGGTTTATTTATCAATCAAAAAACAAAAAAATGGTGAATTTAAAAGGCCCTTGACTCCAGAATGAAAATGACAGTAGTTGCTTGTGTAGGTACGTGGATTGAGAAAAAGAGAATCGGATGTATATATAATACTTTATTCAAAAGCCATGCATTTCTCAGACTGGTAATGGTCCGTTGGATGTGTACTGATTGATACTTTAGCCTGGGAGAACATGATTATTTATTAGTTGTACTAGTAATCTGCTTTGAACTAGCTTTCAGTAACTGCGAGTACTCTTATTTCGGTGCCTTGCGTCTATTGTTTTATTGTTAGTGGGTTTTGTCCCTCATTCCGATCTTTGAGTTTAGCCAATTGCAACTGCAATTGAACTTACAGTTTGTTCTTATGTTGTGCTGCTACGCCACTGTCCCAGGTTAGGGGAGGGTTGAGCGCTCACAAACATTTTTAACCCCGCTACATTATATGCCTGTTCCAAGTCAGAAGCCTGTAGTACAGTGGTTGTTGTTGATTCATTCTGTCATATTTGTTTTTCGTAAATTGTTTTGTTATAAATTATACCGTTAGTTTTTTTTTTTGTATATGAAAACAAAATTTTTCTATAATTTTATAATTAACGAAAACATATGGTAAACAATTCAACAACTTCAATATAAAATTGAAAACAGAAAAATGTTTTATTATAGGGACATCTCTATCAACAGAGAAACCACGCCCCATCGGTCATTAACATGTAAAAGTCTGTTAAAGACCGATAGAAATTATTACTGAAGAATAAAGAATGTCATGTGGCCTCTTGTTATCCAATAAGAGAAGCTAATTCTTAACCGATATGAAATAACTACATTTAGTGTATGGAATGTTTGTAAGGTGTACAATTCTGACTGGCAGGTTTCATCTGACCGTGACCTCATTTTCATGGTTCAGTGGACAATGTTTAGTTTTTGTGGTTTGGTCTATTTATCAGATACAATAACCAGTAGGGCCTCTATATGTGGTGTAACAAAGAACGTGTCACAATCATAAATAAATAAAACACACATATATTTAAAATGTACATGAATCACATTTCAGAAAATTTTTTTTTACTTTTTTTTATAACAGTAATAGCCTTCATTTCGATTATTACATTTTGAAAACATCTATATATGCACTTATTTCATTAAGTTGTTTCAATTTTATGGGTTTTTTAAAATTTGAATTGTATACCATTTTCTTTATTATTCCATTCCATTTCAGTTTCATTTTTATTGAAAAAGGTGAAATTTATAAGGTGCTTTTTGGCGCGGAATCAAGGTCATAATTATTCAATGCTGAATCCACGTTCGCATATGCTGAATTTATTTTAGCCGAATTGAATATTTCTGTATATGCTGAATAATTCAGCACATGCTAAAACGAATTTAGTATGTGATAAAATGAATTTAGCATATGCTGAAATACGATTAAGCATATGCTAAAATCATTAACTATGACCTTGATTCCGCGCCATAGTGCTATTTAACATTTTATCTTTAATCTACTTTTTTCCTAATAATTAAATTTTGTTCTAAAACACCCCCATTCACTAAAACAAACATTTATTCAATTTATTTTTTGTCGGCATTCGATGAATAGATATTAATTTCATAAAATGTAGGGTAGGCATTCCAGGAAGACACTGGTTGACTGTCATTTGGATTAAAATCAAACCTCTAAGCGCTCTCGTTTTCTGATATGTTGCGTGGGGCCCACGCGCGACATATAAAAAGATACCAAGTGAGAAGTGTGATTTTGATCAGACTGTTTGACTGTAGATAAGGAAGTAATACATATAAAATGGATGTAACTTGTTGATGAACTTTTGTTTTAACAAAATTGAATTTATTTTTGGCTTATTTCAACATAATTTATCAACATTTTCTTGTACTGCTGTTTAGAGTTTTTTTTAGATTATGTGATGACGATTTACTAAACAAATAGTATTGTTAATTACAAAATTGATAATAAATGAAAGAAGCGTTGCGGAACATTGACATATACAAAAAAAAAACAGGAAGTAAATACGACAGGAAAAAGTGACATTTGTTAATTAGCTTGTTAAATATAAGTTTGATTTTTGAACTTCTCTTTTTGGTTTATTTAACAGTGATCCAAAACACAAGTAGGAATAATAAATTGTGAAAGGGAGATTGATAAAATGAGCAAAGAGACTAATTCCTCAGAGAAAAATCCAAGGCCTCGATCGAGTCGAGTGTATTTTTTCTCTGAATTGCCGCAGATAGCAACATGTCATGAGTGTACAGTGCTTGTTCCTGTACCAAAGAAATCAAAAGTTCATCTTTTTAGGAGGAAGAAGTCAGAACTATCATTGCATTCCTTTGGTTCCTGTACTATTTTGTTATTGGAATCCGACGCACAGGAGGACGTAGTTAATTTCTCAGGAGATGAAAACCAGGTATATATTTAAGCAAAATGCACATTTGATTTGTCTCATATTAACCTGCATTCTTCAGATCTTTATTTATGGTGGACATACAGTTGATCTTATAATGTACATCTGCACCTGGATAAAAATATCAAGTTTATGTATAAGTTGTGATTGGATTTGAAATTATTTTCAGTAACTTTCAGTAACTGCTAGTACTCCGTGTCTTGTTTTTATGTTTGTTGTTTTGTGTGCATTGTTTCAATCCGTTGAATTAAGCAATTTCCTCTTGGATTTTAAAGTTTGTTCTGATGTCTTTTGTGCTTCGGACCAATCTGTTGCGCTATGCCATTTCCTATTGATTTGTTACAGTTTGTTCTTAATATGCTGTTAAACCACTGTCCAAGGTAAGGAGGAGGGTTGATCGCTCTCAAACATGCTTAATCCCGCCACATTCAAAATATTTTTTTCTACAATTAGATTTGACAAGAACCGAACGTCTATTTTCACAAAAAGCTAAAATGCATCCAAAAAGAAGGAAAATTAGGTAATTACATGCCGCAAATAAACGAAAAACCTAAAATGGCCAAGTTAAAATGTTAAAACAACTTTTCCAACTTGTTTTATTCATACCAAATAGGTCTTGAAGCATTATTATTATATAAAATAGATTGACTAGACTAGCTTAATTGATTTGAACATCTGCGCCAGTCTATATAGGGGGAGTTCAGTCTTAGTCCATAGTTTAGGGGGGTCCAAACACCATGGCTTAGTGAAAATGTTGAAAAAAAAACATCTTTTCCATAATGATTATTTACACCAAATATTAATTTGAATAATAAAACCACATCAAGTAATTTGAAATGCAATGACAGCTAGAAAATCTGATGGTTTTTTTTCTAGGAAAGGGTCCAAATATCATCCCTTCAGTAAAAAAAAATCTGAAAACATCTTTTCCAACATACATTTGTAGTTTAATAATATCAAGTTCTTATTAGGCGGAGGTAAATTTTTCAAGGTAAGGGGTCAAAATACTAAAGCTATGTGAATGTGTCAAAAATAATTTCTGACATGTTTAATTTATACCAAATAATTATTGGAACATTATGATAATATAAAGCAGTTTGAATAACTGTGGGGATTTGAAAATCTAAGATATTTGGGGACGTGCAGTTGTCCTTGATAGTGGATCAAAATACAGTGACTAAGTAATAATTACAATAATTCACAACAAGAACATAGTATAGCATTATAACTATTCAAAGTAGTTTGAATAGTTAGTTGAATATGAAATATAATATCCATTAGATGGGGGAAGGGGGGGGGGGGTTATTTTCTATGTTTTTTTTTTTGGGGGGGGGGGTCAAATACGAAGGCGAAGTGAAAATGTCAAAAAACATTCTTTCCAACATGTTTTATATGTAACACTCCCAAACGTGTTCATCCCCCCAAACGTGTCCGATACCCCCAAACGTGTCTTTTCCGACCAAACGTGTCCTTCAAATCATAAATCGCCCAAACGTGTCCGATTTCATATCCCCAAACGTGTCCGATAATTGTTATTCGCCAAAACGTGTCCAGATAAAAACGCCACAACGTCTCAAAACTCTTAGCGCCAATATAACTCTGTGAAGTCAAAAACGTTTACGGCAATTATATGGCGTGGGATACGATAAAAGACGTCGGGTTCGGTTTAATTCTTAAAAAATCAAAGTAGCTACCCAAAGAAATCTGGAGGAAAGTTAAGTAAGCCGTATAGACAAATGTCCAAGACATGCTACACTGTGCACAATGACTTCTGCTTTCAAAAAAATAGACACCAGGTTAAAAAAGAATCCCACAATAAAAAGTTACTTTTACTTGCAGCGGTTTTAATAATGTTTTATATAAAGTTCAGATAGAGGTATTTCACAATTAAAAATGTAATATATTTTATCTTGTAAATTTTCACGGTGCTTCACTGTTAATAAAGTGGAAATTTATTAGCATTAATTTGTTCAACGCCGGTTATTTTTTATTAAGTATGCAAGCTAAATTTGCAACACCTAATGAACTATTGAATGTTGATTGCTTAATGTCCAGTGGCAAATATGTCATGCGTATTTAAAAAAACATAAACATTGCAATTTATTAGTTTTGTACAGTTTTAATAATTGTTTACTAAGTGGATTCCATTGTACTAATATTCTTCGATGATACCTAAATGGCTATATAATGTATGAGGGTATTGTACGACCTGCTTCATGCAAAAGAGGTTTCTGTGCTTTTAAAATGGAGACTTTACGGTTTCAAATAAACCGGACACGTTTGGCCTTTTTTTTTAAAAATTAAATGGACACAATCGGGCGCTTATAAACAGAACACGTTTTTGCGCCCTTTAGCAACTAGACATGTTTTGCAGTTCAGCGACGTCATATGGACACGTTTGGGGGAATCGGACACGTTTGGGGGGATGGACACGTTTCTGAGTGTTACATATATATTACAAATACTTATTGGGCATTATCACTACACAAAGAAGGGGAAGTGGGTTTAGTTTCCATGGTGGTTCGTGGAGTCAAAATACCATGGCATAGTAAAAGTGTTTAAACAATTGTTCAACCATGTATTATCTTTCAAAATTACTCATCATTTACTATTTAAAGTAGTTTGAAAAGCTATGATGATCTGAAAATCTGACGTCATGAAGTGGGATGTTGTCAACTTTCAATGGTAGGGGTCAAAATACCATGGCTAAGTTAAAGAAATCAAACATCTTCTCGAAATTTTTTTTCAATGATACCAAACACTTATTGGAGCACTATTGCCATAGCTAGGTAAAATGTTAAAACATATTTTCAAATATGTTTTATTCATTTTAACTACTTTTAGGATAACTATACAAATAGATTGAATGAATATGATGAGTTGCAAATCATAGATCTTTAAGGAGTCAATAGTATGAAATTGACCCTCTTTGATATTTAAGGATTTGCGTTTGAACTACTAAAACTAGTAATAATGCTTCAAAGAAATTAAAAAACTTATATGTTCGCAAAAAATTTTGTAACATCTTTTCTTAGCCATGGTATTTTGAACGCCCTACCATGGAAAATTGAACATCCTATCTTAATAGGTCAAAATTTTAATTTATAATCGCATTAACAATACTTTAACTAATATAATTCTGCATTAACTGGTTTAAGGGAAAGATGACACCACTCTCCTATTAAGTAAACATTGTAATTGACAATATCGTTTCAACCTCTATAATTATAGTAATTATGTCTTTATCAGTATCTTGAAGAAAAAAATATCTGTCAGAAAAGATTTGAGATAAATATTCTTAATCGTGGTATTTTGAACCCCCTTTAGCTGTCAGAATTTCAAATTATCTAAGCATATAAGCTACATGATCTTATTATAATGTTTCATTAAGTACTTGAATGAAGAAATATGTTTAAACAGATTTATAACACGTATCCTTGGTCATAGTATAATACCATTCACTCAAACAACCACAGGCACTTGTTTCTATCCATGGGAAGATCCACTATCAACGTATATTTGATAGTGGATCTTCCCATGGATAGAAACAAGTGCCTGTGAAAGCAAGATCTACATCTATTCAATTAATTATGTTGGAATTCGAGGAAAACATATTTTATAAAATGTAGTCGATCCAAGAAGATACCGCTCCTCTTATACTTCAAAATTCTTATTTACAAAAACATAATACTTTAGTTATAATGCTGCAGTAAGTATCATGATAGAAAATAAAACATTTTTTGGAAAAAAAAATTATGATTATTTTTTTTTAGCCATGGTATTATGACCCTCACCATGGAAATTCGAACGCCCTACCCTAAAAGATGTCTATATTTCTATGAATAATAACGTTTAACGTTTTAACGTACTTAGTCTGGTTGTATATTCTTTCAACCTGTATAATGAAACTATGTGAACGTTTTAGGCAATGACCATTCATATTTTGTTGGTCGGAGGGAGGGCATGTTTTTCTGTCATAAAAGCTACACATACTGATCCTACATTCTGTAGTTTTTTTTTAGTTAATATATAGATACAAGTCTAAGAGTTTTTATTACACCAATAACTTTGTTACATCTTGATGGATTTTTACAAAACTTAGACAGATGCTTCTTCGTGATCAAAAGACAGTATCCAGAGCAAAACTGAAAATATCTTATTCTTTTTTCTCCGTATTTTAGTAACAAATGGACGTAGTTTTTTTACAGTCAACATTAAGATACTGTCTGGCGTTTTAAAAGTTTTTAGACATTAATAAGTTTGTCAAACCTTGATAGAATTTATATGAATTTTCTATGAGAGATAACATATGAAGCAAAATTTTGAAAATATATATTGTTTTCAGCTTTATGTAAACTGATATATGGCCTTAGTTTTTTGCCGTTAACATTTTACGGATGTACATACAGTCCAGGGTTAGATTTTTTAGATATAAAAAAACTTTGTTGAACCCCTTCATGGAATGTTACGAAACATAAACATAAGCATTTACATGACCAAGAAATAACCTATGAACATTTTGTTTTTATCATTTGTCATTATATCATCTATATTTCTTATAAATGGACTTAGTTTTTGGCAGTCAAATTAAAATTTACACTGACAGCAGCAATCACAGGCAAGAAACAGAATCCTTGACAAATTTTGCTTAAAAAATAAATTGTATGATTCTTAATTTCTTGAAAAAAATATGTGATTTGTTTCAGAAGGGAAGTGAACAAAAAATTTGTTTCCTTTTCTTGTTCCTGTTTGATTTTGATTAAAATCTTATTGAATTTTTTTACTAACTGTATTGGAGGACGACAATAAATGACATTCTTATGCTGCAAGACACGACTCGGCTGATTGAAGAATATTGAGCCCTATAGCAAAATATATTCATTTACAAATTATAAATAGACGTTTAACCACAATCCCTTAGTTACCAGTGTTTAATTTCTGTAAATGCGTTGAATCCATTCTTTGATTTAACTACTTTAATTTGTTAAATTTATATATTTGTATTACTAACGAAATGGAATGAATAGTTTTAAAGTACAACATTGAAACTTTATTGATAAATGGTTATTAATAGGGACCCACATTAAGGATACGAGAGCCTTATAGTTTTCACTTTGTATATCAGTCGGTCTGCCTGTCTGTCCGTCTGCGGGTCACATTTTTTGTGGAGATAATCTAGAAAATCTTAAAAGAATTTACCATAATGATAATCATTAAGTGTAGTTGTGCACTGGAATTTTAAAAATGGATGCTATCGCAATGTAAAATTGACACCCCTGTTTATGCTTTCATGGTTATTCTAACTTAAATAGCTTTCTATATTTTCTAGCAAATAAAAGGAAGTCATTGTTGGATAACAAGTCAAAAAGACATAGGCCTGAAAGATAGATTTCCTTACAGACAACACGAAGCGCCTTTGTTATCTTAGAAACAGTGTTGCAAAATCATTTCCCATAACATGTTAATTATCAGTTTGTTATTCATTAGGAATAATTATTTGAGCATTATAGCTATCTTAAGGCATCGAGCATTCATCTTTTGTGGGGAGATTAAAAAAAAAGAAATTGCTTGATTGCAATTTTGTTTTGGAAAAAAAAATTGTTTCAGAAGTGAAGTTAAAAAAAAGAAGTTTGTGTCCATTGAAAATAAGGAAAAAATAGATAAAGAACTCGCAATTTTTCGTTATATATATATTTCTTTACAAAATATTGAAATTTTCATGACGCCCGTATCTTGGCGCCTTCTGTAATTTTACTCTTCTATTTTGATTAGTGGTAGCAAAAACAGAAACACAACTATATTAGAAAAGGAAACTGAATTAAAAAAAATAAATAGACACATTTTTTTATTATATTTCAGACTCCATTGATGACCATATATCTGAATCGACTCATTGACAAATCATTGGAACACATTGTAGAAAAGTCTAAAGTTTGGCAAGAGTTCCATTTGAATGACCAGGGTAGAAAAAGATCATTTGTATTACAGTTCCCGAAAGGACCGGAGTTTGATAAGTTTTATCCGAAACTTCAGAATGTGATCAATACTCTGAATGTTTGTAGAGAAAGCAAAGCAAAAATGAATAAAAGTAAGTACTTAAAAAAAATCATTCATACAGCAACCATGACCTATCGAATTAAAACCCTATGGATAGAAGAATATTTATAATGGACAGGTATGGACATATTTTTGGTGGATACCTCTTATAGTTATTTCCTGACAGGGATTTATATCTAAGAGTTATACAATAGAGAAGATATCTTGCATGGATTTATCCTTAAAATTTTGACACAAGTAAGTCAATGTTGATATGTGCACTCAAAATATGCCAAGAAAAGTATTGGTCATCCAACAGCAATTGTGACAAAAATTTGGACAGTGTGTGTATACAAAAAAAAGTCATAGTATCATGCAATAGCTGGATGCATCAGAACGTTATAATATTTAACTACGATATTGATAGTTCAAGGGTTAAAATCTTGAAAGTAAAATGTCAAAATATACCTCTGCAAATTTACCTAAAAATGTGACGTAGGTAATACTTAAGTGTCCAATGGAATGATATGTTTTTCATTTATCTACATTTCCGGATGACGGCCATTGATCGAAGTTATTTGTTGTCATCAGATATGTCTTTACTCGGATTTACACTTGTTGGCGATTTTTGGCATCACACTAGCGGTTGAACAAAATGAACATTGCTGTTAAGTGAAATATTGATGAAAATTTAAAGTATTTCCAATTTATAAAATCAACGACTTTAATTTCGTAAATACAAACGACTGGCAAAGGAGGTACACTTTATAAGGGTCTTTCAACCCAAATGTAAACGGATCTACGTACCGCATAGACTTTATATCCCCTTACTATTATTGTAAACCAACAGCAGTGTCGTCAAGGAGAGTGTTAATTCATCATCCGTAAAGTAGGTAAATGCTATGCGGTATGTGTTTTTCTCATTGTGGAAGAACGTTCATTGACATATAGTTGCTAACTTCTACGTTATTTGGACTCTGGTGGAGAGTTGTCTCATTGGAAATCATACCACGTCTTTCCATTTTTTTAATTTTATAAAGGACACAAAAACGCTTGTGTCATTATTTTAATGAACTTTTTTAATTACTTAAAGTGAAATGTAGTCTTTGCGAATGATAAATCATGCGCACGGTATTAATTGAATTTTGTTATAAATATATAAATAGGAAAAAAAAATTAAGACTGAAATGCACTAAACATTTGTTAAATGAACAAGACTTAAAATTTTGCACGCCTTACGCTCGTTTCGTCTACAATAGTCTTTTCATTGACGCTCGAATAAAAAAAGATGAAAAGGCTAGATTAATTACGAAGTCAAAGAGCATTTTTTAAGGACCCAAAAGTCCCTAAAGGCTTTGCCAAATACAGGAAAAGTATATATTCCAGGGGCAGAAAATTCCAAATATTTTGAAAAAATCCAAGTTTTGTAAACAGTTGATTTTTAATCTTATGGTGATGGTTGCATGCAACCTTGACTTGATAGGATTTTATGTTTTAAATCTATGTTTTGATTCAGTATTTGGGTACGGATGCATGACCTTTATAAAGTGTTATCTGGAAAAACGATTTGTGTCACTTCCACGTATCCTTGGATCGGAATACTATTCTTATTAAGAACTATATTAAGATACCCATGAATGGAAAGGACGTTGGTGTTGATTATGACGAAAGCTGTCTTCCTTTTTAGGTTGAAACAATTAGAAATATCACAAATCTATAAACGGAGAAGGAAACAATACTATCAATTATCCTTTTAATACAATAAACACCTACTCGTCATGAAACAGGTTATTGAATTTGTTTTCAAATAAATTTTGTTTAGTGATATTTTTTTTGATTATCTTTGGTTTCAGGTAGTATTTCTCAACATACACATTTATACTGATAATCATTGAGATACAAGACTGATGAAGCTAATTTGTCAATTTGTTTTATCGCATTGTAAATATTTTTGATATTTACATACTAAATATAGTGTTAAAATTATATTGTTAGACGATCTCTCTCTCTCTCTCTTTTCATTTAGAAACTCGAATGATCCATAATAACACTGATTTTGCGCATGTGGACAAGTGTCTGTGAAACCGCAACATATTAAAATATACAAACATACCTATATGACCGAAACAATTATCAGTTATTGCCCTTAAATGACGATTTTTTTTACTACTTTTGAGTGTTTTCTTACTTGTTATAAAATGATAATTTTTTACTAATCATTTAGTTTTTGCCTATATTATCTTGAAAACTATAAAAGATAGGTAGAAACAGTAAAAGCATAAATTATCAGCTTTACAAGAATGTCAATATGACCGAAACTGTTGGATGACTCCTAATAGGAGTAATTGTCCTTATAACACGATTATTGACTAGTTTGTGTGTTCCTATATATTGACAGGTGAGCGAATTATGCTCTTAGGAGCCTCTTGCTTGACATTTTGTCCACTTTGATTGATAGTGAAAAGATCATGAAGAATGGGTTTAAAAAAATTTAAGAAACTTGCCGTCATTAAACATTCTTTTCGACTTTATCAATAAAATTAGTTTTCAAGTATAGATTATAAATAAAAAAAAGGTTCTCAATGCGATTTTGACATTTTAAGCAGTCGGTAAACCTTTGAATAGTGTACAATTGTGATCTTGTTCTGTATGAAATAAGCCGCCAAGACTACTGTAGTGCATAAGCGAATCAAAATATTTGAGATTACAAAGACACTTGGCCTGAGTATACAGTGATTGTTATGAATGGCCTTACTGTTTGTATAGTGTAAAAAGTGGAATCGGAATGAATGATGGCTCACAAAATAATTTCGGGACATGCACCTACAAGGGCTACATTTCAATCTCAGTTATCTAAAATCATTGAACGTTAGTTATGCTTTATTGAAATAACAAAATTCTTCTTGAATAAGATCTACTAAGTAGGAGAAACTATAACGAACTTTTATGTATATCCATTCCAATACTTAAAAAGAGCTTCCAACAACTGATTTGAATTAAATGATCTAAAGTAACAAATTGCATTTATGGATTTAGTGCTTTAAAATCAAAAATACATTTGCTGACATGATGCATTGATTTTTATTTTTTCTATTTCAGAATATATTTTAGTAGGATTTAAACACAAAGAACCGGATGAATTTATTCAGACAATAAAAGGAAAAAGCTCATCAGAAAGTGGAATCAGTGATAATTCATGTTCTTCAGATACTCTCGTGCACAGGCCATATAACCCTCCTCCTCATGTAACAAGAGTTACTGGTTTAGATCAAGCACTGGAAAAAAGTAAGAGTACGCAATCAGTAAAGTCAGATGTAAAGATTCGAGAAGGCAAATACTACAAAGAAAGACATGGTCCAAAATCAGCACCTCAATCATGTGAGTTACTTCAAACAGTCGATGATCCAGCTTGGACAGTAGATTTCAGATCAAATATAAAGACCCCTGAGGAAAAATACAACAAAGAAAGAAATGGTTCATTATCTTCACCTCAGTCATGTGAGCTTTTTCTTCAAACAGCTGATGATCCGGCTTGGATAGTAGATATCGAATTAGAAATTGGTGACAGAGAAACAATGATAGGGGACAAACAAACTCTCAAAGTTCTGTCTGATCAGCATGAAAACCTGGAGAAAACTTTAAGAATTACAGAAATAGATACAAATACTGAAAATAGTGAAAATGTTGACAAACAAATTGTCAAAGTTCTGTCTGATCAGCATGAAAACCTGGAGAAAACTTTAAGAATTACAGACATAGACACAAATACTGAAAATAGTGAAAATGTTGACATGAATAACGATGCTAAAAATATTGTTTTTAGTGAAGGTTTCAATATATCAGATACTGATTTTGAGTGCACTGGTAAGACAAATTCAAACATTGCAGATGATAACAACCTTTTACCTGTTTGTGCAGAAAATCTTACAATGAAAGCAAAACAAGATCAAAACCAGTCGAAACATTATACTCAATTGCTGCATGCAGCCATTAATGATGGTGATCAGGAGAAAGCTCGTCAGTATGCAGACATTTTGGCAGCCAGTCATGTTAAAGGAACTGTGTTACTTAATGATGAAACAAATGAGCAGGACATCAAGTAAGAACCGGAATACATACTCTAATTAAAGATGTGTATTACAGTAAAATTTAGTTATATTGCATGTTATTTCAGAGTTTACATATGTTATCCAGTGAAAGGGACAATGGATTACTACTCAGTGAGATTCTACCAAATGTGTGGCAATTGAACAATACATATTGTATTCCTATAAAAGTAAGGCTATGTTGTATTATTGCCAATGAGATAACTATCCTCAAAAAATCAAATGACATAGATATAAGTAGCTATATGCCCCCTTAAGGCTTTCAACAATGAGCAAAATCAATACTGTAAAAACAGTTATAAGAGGCGTAAATAACAAAATGTGAATATGGCAGTGTTAAAACATGTATATGAGACCCCCACTTATTCGGACAGTGTTGTTATAACACTGCATAACAACAAACTGAAAAATCAGTTGTAAATGGGTAGAATGATCAGAATGGCACAAAGGAAGAAAAACAACCAACATAAAGACAAGACATCAGGTACCGATCTGAGAGTACTTGCAGTTACTGAAAGCTAGTTCATAGCCAATTACAATAAAACTGTATTATGGTAATTGTTGATGAATTATTGTTGTACATGTAGTTTGTATACTAGTTTTTCTCTGTTAGTCAATTCTTCCATTTGTCCTTAACCCTTTCTGTTGCTTTTCTCGTCAATTACTTAAAGAGCTTCTAGATATTTGGAACCGACCTTCGTATAATTATTGGTAAGCTTTACTGTCTTGCACATGTTCAAATCCATAATTTATCACTCTCTGTTTTCCCATTGTGTATCATTGGAAATTGGGTACCAACATTTTGAAGTCAGCAAGTACCGAACAAAACAAAAAAGTTTAATACTACACAATTGTGCTACGTCTTCCGTAGATAAAGCAGGCTATATGTTTTCCCGATGACTTTCAAGAATATAATAGTGTGACTCCATATTTCCTGAAATTCTCCAACAAAAGAAGATGTCTTCGAAAGGATATTGGCGAAAAAATATGAAACCAAGTGTATAGCTATTTGTTGTACTAAACAAATTATCAGGACAGTAATTTGCTTTCCCAAATGCATGACGTATTGTTAGTAATATAGATTTCAATATGATGCCAAGTACTTTAGCCACATGAAGGAGAGGGCCGACGCAACAGCCAAGTTTCGAGATGAGATCATGGCTGCTGCTGTCATCCCCATTATATCATTCCACAAGAAGTTAAATTTGGCTATATCTAGCTAGACCGACTCTGAGGCCAAGTAATTTTCCAAATTTTTGCAATAAATTTATATATAAAATGTATTGCCAAAATTATTGACCAAATAACAATTTACTTATAAAGTTTATTTCTATCCCATTAAAACATATACTGTGTAACGATTCTCTCTTTTCAGCTTTAAGAAGAATATTACCCCAATTCTTGTGTTTGACTCACAGACCTCTGCATCATCATTTAGACAGGAAGCCACACCCCAGCCTGTGATCAGTACTCATATGTCGCAGGAAGTTAGCGATGGCAGCATGACGAGTTACAAGTTTGATAGGAGTCATAACAGTACTCTCAACCCTGAAAACCGCTTGCAGTTCCCGCAGCAGTATTTTCAGGAACAGCGCGCTAGAAGCATGCCAGAAATAAGGTAAATAAGCTATCTGTATATAAAATGTAATTTTTTAAATTATGACATTTAATTTTTTTTTCAATTATAAATTATCATTTCCAGAATTATAAAATGTAATATTTTTTTAACTTTATTTATTTATTTATTAATGTCATTTTTACTTAATGCTGTGTTAACTTTTTTTTCTAATTTTAAAATAGCATGCAGTCGCAGCAGTATGATGGTTATGGTGTCGCATATCACGGAGGCTACTCTGGATCCGCCAAAATTCATACCCTTGTGCAACCTGTGTCTGGTGATTGACGTGATAGTACTACACCTCATAAAGATGTTTTCAATTTTCAAATTGATTTATTAAAATTTTGAATTTCAACTTGTCGCATCTCAATAAGAAATATAATTTTAAACTTCTGGCTGAAATGATGTTTTCATATTGCAGCAAACTTGCAAAATGTATAAGTTATGTCTCCAAACTGTATAATTATTACAGAAAACCTGTAAGATTTGAAATACACTGTATAAATACATGTATTACTTTTTCATTTTTGAACTTGACAACTTGTTGATCATAATAAACATTGTTCATGGTTAGAAATACATTGTGTTCTCAGAAAATTTAATTTGCTTGTTATTGTATGTATTTTTAACTTTTAAATTTTATTAAATGTTATCAAATTTCAAGTTAACTTTTTGGCAAACGAGTGGCTTCAAATTATAAAGTAGTCCCAAATAGGAGTTTGGGAATGAATCCCCCTTTCCAATAATAGAGTTATTCAGGATATCCAGGGTTAGAACAAGTATCTTCTATGTCTCCCGGGTCGCAGTGCTTTTCTGTTAAAGTAATAATTGGTAAACTAATTCTTCTTCTACCATTTCCATGAGAACAACCTGCTGCAGAAGTCACAGCCTTTAAATAGCTTTCAAGGTGAACCGGTCTAAGTACTGTCCAAAAAGGACACAGACGCACATGTTATACTCCAGATGTAAGCAGCTCAGCCGAATTCGGAAATATACGCATCTGAAATCCTAGTACTGTTGTCATATTTTGTATGATCGAGACACTTCGGAACTCAGTTCTACAGCAGACTGCTGTACTGCATTGCAAACAGCTTTGTCTAGGCTAGGTCGTATCGTGTTCGGTTCTTCCGGACTCTGACGTAGGTATAGTTGTCAAATTATCCATTAAATACGGGACTGTTCCAGAACGGATTCTACAAAGATTGTACACATCCGCTAGCTCTAGAAGCAATCTGGACTAAACCGGCAATGACAAATTTCTCCAGATTATGCCCATTCCACAGGCTATCGTCCAGGCAGCTTCCAGACAACACAGGACATTGTTACGATATAGCATAATATGTCAAGACATAGTCACGATCATTAACGATTGTAATCCGACTAGACAAAATCGGTTGAGGGTCCCGAGTGTCACTTACTGTCTGAAGTACTTGGCCTACCTCTACGGACCATTTCCGATCCGTAGGACTCTGTTACAAGCGTATACGACTGCGTTCAGACAATGATACAACATGCAATATCTTTGAAGATATATTTAGTAATCTTTTATATTTTTTGTGTCGCAGCACTGTGTTAAATGGGAGATATAATCGACAATGCTTGAACACGGCATTAGACATAGATATTAGATCAAAACTGTTCATTAAAAAATAAAATTAACTTAATTTAATATTAAAACGTATGCATCGTAAAGCAGAAATGTCTGAAACACGGAAACTCTTTACAACAACTCTAATCTAATGTCACCTGGACTATTCCTGTTCCTGGTATGCCGGAGTATCACAGGCTCAAAAACCAAACTTATAACAGAATAAAACTATAAGATCTATTTTGAAAAAAATAGTCAAAGGTCTAATGTTCGCCAACCAGAACTATCAAGTGTTGGCTCTTTAAATATTGAAAATTAAGTGAAGCAGTTAAGATAATGGCACCCATTTAAGATCTACAACAAGTGTCTCGCATATTTAAAAGGCAATTTAAGAAAATTCGACAAACACCTGGATTGTTCGCTAGATTAAAGCCAATTAAATTGTGTTGTTCCCAAAGTTAAAAGAGTGGACTCTACATCTTTTTCCTTTAATGCTATTAAAGATTTGGATGCGCTTCCAAATGATGTAAAATCAATATATGACTACACGCATTCAAAATTACAGTAAAACATATATGAAAAAAACAAATTAAATGTAATATGAATAATAATTTGTCATTAATATTAATTCAATTGATGCCATGCTTTCTCAAGGACTCAACTGAAAATAAGTGGAACGCTTTCATGTCCAAATGATGCAATGATTGTTATGTCATGTATGATGTACAAACATTTTCAACTATTGTTTTTGAATTTAAAATTTGCTTAGTGTTTATTAAATGTTTGAGTACTTTAATAAAAGTAGAACTAGTTCTATAATGTATGAGAACATTAATGTGTTATTCGTGTTAATGGAGCAGGGAACACGGATTTTACCCAACCTCAGGGGGCTAGTTGTTTGTTGAATATTGTTGTAAGCAGTACATTTTTATTTGTGGAAATTAATTTAACTCATCTACATCCCCAGCTGCACCTACAATTTTAATTATTATTTGAATTTATTTAAACGGTTACTCATAGAATATATTTGTTTGTATTTCTAACTGAATCATAGGGAAACTATTGTACCCCAATTCATTAATACTCTTATGAATTATCAAGGCTTTGTTTGAATTAAGGGTGCTAGTTTAAATTAGTTTTTTGTACCTCCTGGCATCTACCGCAGTTATTCTCATTTAAACCACATGTCTGGGATCTACCACAGGTTTATATAATATATATATATATATTAATGCTCATCTGTCAGGTTTTTAGGATCTACCGAAGCAATTCCCATTTAAACCACCAGTCTTTGATCTACCACAGGTTTTTATAATATATATATATTTTTTTTAATGCTTATCTGTCAGGTTTTTATGATCTACCGCAGCAAATCTCATTTAAACCACCAGTCTTGGATCTACCACAGGTTGTTATAGTTATACATATATGTTTAAACGTTCACCATTCTGGGTTCTACCACAAGTTTGGGTTCTACCACAGGTTTGTGATCTACAAAAGGTTTGGGATCCACCACAGGTTCTTTTACATAAATGTTTCATGTTCACTTGTCTTTGTTCTACACAGTTAGCATTGGTGTCAACTTTCACTACAAAAAGGGTTAGGGGGAGATTAACCGTTGTACAATTTTCTATGACATTTCAAAGGCAACTTACTTACTATTTAAAGTAATCAACCATTTTCTACATAAGAGAATGCCTGTACCGTCACAGGAATATAAGAGTTGTTTTCGATTCGTTTGATGTGTTTGAGCTTTTGCTTTTGCCATTTGATAAGGGACTTTCCGTTTTGAATTTTCCTTGGAGTTCGGTATTTTTTGTTTTTTTACTTTTTACTTTAATTTGTTATAACTGCATTTTTGAAAGTTATTTATTTTACTTTGACATTTTACCTGGGTTCTCACTGGGATATTTGAGGATGAATCTAGTTCTATCAATATGAATTATCCTATTTGGATAAGTGGTCTTCCTCGAATAAAATTATCTTTTATTACACTGGATAAGTCAAATTAGTACAGTATATATTTATATTCAAAATACAAAATCTTTGTACTCCTTCCATTCCAAACATAAGTAACATGTTTTCCCCTCATTATTGAATACATTACGATGACCTACAATAGTTGTATAATCCTTTACCTTATGTGTTTACATGACATACATCTCATAACACATCTCCTTTAAACCTTATATTTTACATGTATATACATAGATTCTACCAGTGCATCAAGTGTGATTCGATATCCATCCACTCGAGATTGTTAATTTTTCAAATATTTAAAATTCAACTGTCGAGAATTCATAAATATCGTATTGCACGAGATATTGTGGTGGAATCTGTTTCTCTTATGATTTTTAAACGATATGCAGACAAATTTCATTTTTCTTTCGAATGATCTGCAAAAAGATGAGTTCTTGCTATGTGACGTTAAAGGTCATGGTCGCTTTTTTCATAATGCCACAATGGGAATTTCAGACGAGCAAGAAAATTTCACGTCATAATCGAATTTTGACCAATGAAGAACTGATATCAAACGAACCACACGTTGATTAAATAAAAATAATCAACTGGTCAGGAAAAGGATAAATCGGATAAAAATAAGAGAAATATAATTCATCAATTGTAATTTCGTGCAAATTTTTAAAGTTTTCTCGTAATGAAAAATAATGCAAATGCAAATAATTGAAATCTGAGATTACTATAACATGTGTTAGAACATGGAGTAGAATTTTTTTTAAATGTCACGTGCAGGGTCTGAGCTTCAACCTCAGTGTTGCTAGGATAGTGATACAGTAGATGAACTACGTTGCCAGTCAATCACCGAAGCCAACGGTGAACTGAATAAACTTGATTCCCTTCAAAATACACACACAATAAAAAGTAATTAAAAAAAAATAAAAGTAAATAAAATATTAGGTCCCGAATCGACTAACCAAATGTTGAAATGATTTTAAATGGATGCCAATTTGATTAGATGCCGATTGGACTCTTTCTTTAGGTGCCGATTTGACTTGCACCCGTTTCTACGTATATCATTTATTGTATCCACAAAAAGTCTAGCATGAATATGAACTTCCACCAAGTAACATGCACCAGCTTGGAGTGCAATCGCCAAAGGCCGTATGTATTCGAGTTTAAATTGAGTAACCACAGCAAAAACCAAAATTTCAAAACTCTGAAGCGTTGATTTTTTTATAGCTGACATCAGAATGTCCGCTTGGTTTTTTCTCTCAATTTCTTGCGATATATCAAGACCTGTTTAATTCCGAAATTAAGAGGTCCATCTGTTCTCGTTTCACATCGTGTCGGCAGGCTTTGTTAGTCTTGTATGTTTTTTATTTCATTTTGGATTATTTGAATTTTTTTTTCATTTTGGTTCATTTGTATGTTTCGGCGTTTAATGTGGCGTCCATTTCGCTGAACTGTATACATTATTGTTTAGGGGTCAGAGGATGCCCACCTCAGGATACGGGATTTTCTAGCTGCGTTGAAAAACCATTGGTGGCCTTGAGCTAATTTTTGGTCAGGTTGTTGTCTCTTTGACACTTTCATCGTTTCTATTCTCTGTTCTATTATTTTGTCCTGATGCATATCAAGTTCAAAGTTTAAACCCCCTGCATTTGTTTGTACCTGTCCTAAGTCAGGAACCTGTTGTTCAGTGGTTGTCGTTTGTTGATGTGGTTCATAAGTGTTTTTCGTCTCTCGTTTTTTTTATATAGATTAGACCGTTGGTTTTCCTGTTTGAATTGTTTTACACTAGTCATTTTGGGGTCCTTTATAGCTTGTTGTTCGGTGTGAGCCAAGGCTCCGTGTTGAAGGTCGTACTTTGACCTATAATTGTTTACATTTTACACATTGTGACTTGGATGGAGAGTTGTCTAATTGGCACTCAAACCACATCATCTTATTTCTACTTATTGATTTTCAACTTGCAGGTTCAACTTTGATTTCATTAAATTTCATTCTTTTACTGGAACTATTGATAAACCGGGTAGTTGTCCAAAGAACGGTCATGCAATTTCGAATAATCGGGACAGTTTTGAAAATCACTTAATAAAAAATATGCAATCTACAATGCAAAAATTATTTTGTATTGGACAATTCTTCTGTAATATGAGTTTCAGCTACTGAAACTTCCTCTGACATTGTTGAACAAAATTGTAACCTTACCCTCTTAACTTGTTCAGAAAGAACCACAAATTACGAAGATTTGCCAACAAACTGTGCGAAATTGTTTCTGTATCTGTGCAGACAAGTTTAGCGAATTCACAGAAATCTTGTGTAACTTGATAAATTTTATCATACATTATCTTTGTTAATATATCGAACACTGTTGCGGTTGAGCTTGGTAAGAACAATCGGTACACTCATCATGCCGCCAAAAGACTGAAAACAGATATCGGTTGCATTATTTTAAAATGTTTTCTCTGATTTCTTGCTCACAACAAACAAAGTATAAACTCATTCTAAGCTCAAGGGTAAAGATATTTTTCGTACGTTTTTTTCTTTCTAAATATGTCATTTTAATATTTCGTCAAACGATGATGTACACTTTACAAAAAAGGTAAAATTATCGTCTTCTTCTGAGATTTTCTTTTTCCAGTTAACTCTGAATGCAATGTTTCTTTTAGCTAAAGTAATGAAGGATGTCAATTATAGATGATGAAAAGTCAGTTATTTTTTTTAATTCTTTACTGCTTGAGTTATTACTTGTAAACGTTTGACTTCGTTCTGCCACTAATGCTGATGTTGATAGAA